ATAGGTATTGTTAACATCTTAGTATGTCGAAGTAGTTTTTATATCTGTACGGGGGGCGAGGAGTTAGCTGCCTGCGACGCACATGTACCATACAGTCATTCAAATATTTATAAATACTTCACATGACAATATCTAGCAAATCATTAATAAAAACTAGCGCAATGTCACTGTCGTTAAACACAATTGTATGAATAACCTGGTGGTACTTATAACCACTTACCTGATTCAAGTAACTGCCAATACCTGCAACAATCATAATGGTTATGATCGAAATGATGCCTTTGAATACGAAAAACATGAGATAAAGAAGTGGGAAACGAAATGAAAACTCTATAGTTCAAATCTTTGGTCTTTGTCTGAATGTAGTGACACTTGTTTTAACTAGTACCTAGAGTGAATTGTTTACGACTCACTGGTGCCAGTTAGTTTAAACTATTTCAGTTGTATGCTAACGCTGATTTTCAACACTACTGTAATACTGCTAGCATAGTGTAAATCAGGCTTAAGAGATAATATGTATTAAAACGAGAGTCAGTTTAGTGGAAATTTGGGGTAAGGTAGAGTACCTCTGTTGAATCACCGTTAATCTAGAAGCCTGACATCGGTTATCTAAAAAACCTGCGATCTTCCGTCCGTGCGGAATTAAAAACAAACATAATTAGCCTATGTGTTCTCCCACACTATGTTCTATATGTATGCCAAATTTATCGAGATCCATTCAGCCGTCCTGGAGATACCTTCAAACAAACATCCATCCAAACATTCGCATTTATAATATTAGTATGAAATGTGATTTGCAAAAGGTAAATAGGAAAACACAAACATAGAATTATATAATTGTCTTTATTCCTTCTTTACTGAGACTTTTTTCATCATCATATCTGTACAAAGAACAATAAACAAGAATGTGTTTGAATTTTATATGCAGCTAGTTTGCCAAGCCTGGTTCAAGCAAAACACCTCAGATAATCGAGGCGTTCTAGTTCGAACTACGCACGTAGATAATATTGATAAAATATTTCCAAGGAAATATATTACGTGAACACTCTAAGAGGATGACTCATTCTTACGAAAACATCTCTTTCGAATTTTATAATGATATCATTTTAAACAGAAATTAATTATAGAAAAAAAATAATAAATAGTAGGTACATTACAAATAAACTCTACAAATATTCATTTAGATTTTTATCTATGTTTTCATATCTTTTTAAATTAAAACAACATTTCAAATCCTCCGACATTTTAACTACTGTCTAAACAAACTATTAAAAAATGTAATATGAATAATAGGTATATTACAATAATTCTCAAAAACATATTTAATTAAAAACAAGTCTACTAAAGCATAATTTTTTGTACGAGACGTATTGGTTAGGGAAGGACGATATGTAGTCATTAAATATATGCAATACTTGTGGTTTACAACTCTTCACGTTACACTTTGGTCGATACTCATTTGAAAATTTATCTCATAATCTACTTACGTAATCGATTGTAGTAAGCTGATAAAAACCGCTGCCAAATAGAAACGTCACGAAAAGGCTCTATTGTACCGCCGAGGTCAGCATTCAACCAGTCTGCATAAATATCACTATCACAATGTAATTTATCAAACATCAGTGCTTTATAAAAAAAAACAATCACGAAAGATTTATACTCTAAACACACTTTTATTATTGTACTTTCGATTTTTTTTTATTTAACAAAAATAAAATGGCTTCACATTTTGCGCCAACTAAAAAAACATGGCAGCTCAGCACTTACATGTCATACTAATTACTTAAATTTATTTTTTAAGTATTAAAATCCAAATCAATCACAGAATCGCATTAGAATTAATTAATAATACAGATAATGTAAATTGAAAAATAAATTCTCAAAAATTGACTTTTAAATTTAATTAAAATGTTTTTAAGATATAACTGGATTGTTATATTCATATTGATAATGACGTCTAGAATGAAAAATAAACAAAAATGGCGCGGAACCGTGTAACAATGATAAATCAATTGCATATTGTTTCGATTAAAATAAAAGAAAATCTCCATCGGTTTTCATATTGTCATCTCTCTCAAAAAACTGAAGTAACAATGAATTTTTACAATACTGTTTCATTTGGTTATTATTATTGTATTCAAATTAAATCAACAATTTGACTAATAAAAAAAAAGTTGTTTTTTTAATTTTTAAAAGCACAGGTTCATCATTACATAAGTCCAAAATTAAATAATCTAATATTGTTATGTTTAGTTAGAAATTGAAATTGTTTTTATTTGATTACCAAATAAACGTGCACTTAATTCTTACATTTGGAAAGGTGTCTATCGACATTTTTTTTTGCAAATGGCGCTGGCTTAAATATTGGCGAGCGCATTAATTGGAGCAAATAGACTATCACACTTCACATTTGGTGCTTGGCCTGTTTTATATAATATAGGTCAAGAGAGAGAATGTTGAATAGAGAACTTTAGATATTATTAACTAAATTTTTAATACATGGTAATTCTCACAAAATAATTACAAATCACCCTCGCGACTAAGGGAAGGCTCCCTGAATATTAAAAAAAGCTAAAATATTCTCTAGATCACAGGTTTACGAATACGTCAATACAAATTAGAACAAAGTTTTTTTGAATAGGACATTTGTCATAGCCAAGTTTTGGATACCGCACCAACATTTCATGTTTAAAAAACCTTGTAACACTTTCAGTTACAAAAAAATCAATAGTTCCTAATGTGAACTTCAATATATTTCTATTAGTGCAAAAACTTTTCACAGTCTGACATAAAAACTAACTAATTGAAAGGCAATTATAGTTTTTAAAACAGCATAACAAAGTAACTAGCGAAACGCTCAACCCGATTTATGGATAGCGTAGTAGTCTTTTTATCAAACAAATTATTCCTTCGAATTAATTTTAATTATCTCCGGTGTTTTTAATAATATTAGAAAAAACATATGTATTCAGCCGACTCGAGTTCGTAAAGGGTTACTGACTGACATAGTGACTGCGAGAGTCTCATAGTTACAAAGGTTATTTATTGGCCAATGAGTCATGTGTCAATGCATCATTAAACTATTCAGAAATGTCGTGCCAACGAATTTGTAGTCATAGAAAAATTATGTACGGAATTAGTTCAAGTGCTTTCCATCGTCGAAATTAACAATAAAAAATACATACATGTATATAAGAGGAAACATGTGTTCATACAACTGTTTGAGTTGACATCCCGCGCTTTTTGAACCATAACTTTATAATGACTTTTCAATAAGACATAAATTGTTTATTATGTCAAATTGGTTGATAATTTGTCATTTATCAAAAACATAAAGTGAATTTAATATCATTTTGGAATCGAATTTAAGACGACAGAATTACTGCTTGAACTAAACAAAAAGCCGGTTTCGAACGTGTCTAATGTATTATACTTTTGAAATATTGATACAGAACGAAATGAAATTACCGAACGTTCTACTTCCAGAAACAATGCCGAACCTACCAGTATAACCTTGACCCTGCTCAACGGTAAATAGTAATTGCTAGATTGATTTTACGTTATTTTTGTGGATCAATAAATTTTTGTTTCAACAAAGAAAGCTTGCAACTGAAACATCGATGGCATAACGAGTCACAGAAGTGTACTCGTTTTCCCGCCAACAAGTTTGCAAAACCGGATCGAGTCGACGTCATCTTATTATTTTACAAATACAATACAGCCTGTTTTTGATTCGAATTGAGGTTGTAAGTCAACAAAAAGATACAGTTCGGTTTATTGGCGGTATTCCACTGCTAAACAAGATAATATATTGAACTTCTTTTAATAAGTAGCAGCGTTTATCACAATTTATCTATTATTAGGTATAGTGCAGGTAACCAACAGTTATTTTTTAAACGATTTTATTTAACTTGCTCTGTATATTCGAATCAAATTAATTTTAAAATGTTTTTAACAAGATTTTTAGTTTCCTCAAAGAGATAGCACCTTGTATTTTAAAAGTACTGTTTGTTATAAGCAATTATTTGTAACTGGAATACCGCTAACAAAGACAACTGTACAGTGTAGAGTTATATTTGCACCGCCTTTCAGGATATTATCACTTATCCTTTAAATTTGATTCTACGGATGACGCTCTCGGAATGCAAACTGGACAGGAATACATTCAAATTGAAATATTTTTAGCATATATCGATACTAGCTGTTGCCCGCGAATCTGTACGCGCGGTATTCAAAAATATATATTAGCCGTTTCTCAGACCTACTGAATATGCATATTAAATTTCATAAAAATCGGTCAAGCCGTTTCGGACGCGTATAGTAACTAACAGAGTAACACGTAAATTTTATCATATTGATATTTTAATGCAAACTATAATATAAATAAGTAAAATTGAAAACTGGCTGTTAATAAAAGTGCCTGGTTTACATTATGCCAGTACAGTAGGACAGTGAGGGCCTGTTGTAAAACGTATGAGTACAATGGCGGTAGTTGCTATTTAAATCATGCCAGTTGTATACCAGTTGATTTTGAGCGCTACAGTCTGGCATAAAGTAAGCCAGGAAAAAAATCCTTTACCAGAAAACCCACGCAAAAATATTATTATATCAGTTTCTTGAAAGAGAATAAGGAACAAATATATATGTACGCTATACATCATAAAGCATGGGTACAAATAATGATATCTGAGAATAAAAATTACATATACAACAATAAAGTAATTAAGATATCCTAATATATATAACATATACACTAACATAAATATAAAGATAATAAAATTGTTTGGTGATTGAACAAAACAGACCTTAATACAATCAAACCTCTATAAGCGAGTCCAGCCATGACAACCTCATGCGAGAAACTCTGGATCGAGAGAAACCTCTATAAGCGAGAAAAATATCTTTTAGATTCTCCCTTATTTAAATTCGACTGGATATTAATTATACGGATGTCATTTAAATTATTAATTTAATAATGTATCGAAATAAAATTTGCTACATGCAATTGAATAATCATTTACTCCTATTTCTTCTATCTATAGAAAAGGATGTGGCAATCAAATAAGGTAACAAATAAAAATATTATAATCCCAATTTGAAAAAAAAATAACATTTAAATTTTAAGATAAACTATTAAGAAATAATTATTAAATGCATTTAGACGTCATTATCGTATGAATCGGGGCTAATGTGTGATATTAACTTGGTATAAACCTAGTAATATGTAAAGTATATAACAGTACATAAAGTGAATAGCCCTAGAAACAATAGACACATAATAGATACCATAACACAGACTTTAGTTGGTCTATGTAACTTGAATGTGTGCATTGTTACAAATAAAGTAACATATAACATTAACCGGACTTAACTAAACACAACAGCATTGAGTATTTTTATAATGGTCCTGGTCTGTATTACACAAAACTAATATGCTTCGGAATTACAATATGACCTGTCTGACGGAGAGTCACATAAGTTATGTCAGTAATGGTGAACCAATGGTATGTGACACAATATTTTTGACTTGTTGCTTATCATAAAATTTATTATGCTGTACATATTGTGCAAACTTCCGTTAGCTCTGTTACAAAATTACTACAATGAAAATTTTTTGGTGGCATTTCTGTGACCTAATTAAATGATTAAAAATATAGCTTGTTGATGCATAGATTTGCCACCCCTGTTATATGGGATCTGTAAATGTGACTTTCCGTCAGACAACTCTAGTAGTAAGTTTATTAGCAGGGTGCTTTTGTACCTTTGGACATACCTAACCACCAGTCTTGTCTCTCAACACTCTTTGGTTAAAATCTAAATTAAAACAATTGTTTTTTTAAAATACATTATGTCTTTTAGTTTTAAATCTTTGCAAAATGAAACACAAACCTCATTTTTGGTCCCAACTCAGGCCATTGTCTTTAATTTTCCTATAACTTTCATAGTCCAAAGGTACATGGTGTTCAATATGAATTAATAAATTATTATGAACTGTTCACAACCAATATTCATATAGAAAAAAAAAACATACAAACAGAACAGACTTAAATTCAGATAATTCACAAGAAAAATTATGTTAAATCTTGATATTATAGAAAATAACACCCTGTATATTTTAAAAATTGTACTCGCAAGAATTTTTGAAAACTTTTGCACAATTTAACATTGTATGAAGCAAAAATTACATAGTGGATGAGATTAGAAAATTGTATATATTTTGAAAACCTATATGAGTTGAGAAAACATACTGGAAATATTAACCGAGTGATTTTTTTTAATTAATTGCATAGTTAGAAATGTTCCTAACTTCATTTATGTGTTGGAGAATGTAAACTAGATTTAACATAATATATAAATGAATATGTAACAATTGGTTCCAGCCCAATTATGAGATAACTTGTTTATTACAAAATAAGTACTATTATTGCATAGCAGGACTTGCTATTGAGAACTTTTAATGAATGTTTTTATGTTTAATCTTAAATAAAAAAGACTAGAAGAAATTCAATGTCGGATAAAGTTTATTTTTCAGATAAGAAAAAAGTAATAACTAAAAAAAATAAAAAGGTTATTCATGTTTGTGAATGGAAATGACTAATTTGATACTTTGAATGCTATTATTAATTATGAATAGTACAAATGATTCACATCTTTTGATAGTATTGTATGTCAACACTGAAGGACTATTATGTCTCAAACAGTGGCCATTGCGGAAACAATATTATTATGGCAGATCACAAATGGTAAAATTAAACAATTACCACAGGTATGGATACAACAGCCTGTGTTATTAAATCTATAAACATAAAAAACTCTCTAAAACAAGAATAACAAGTATCCACCGTTTCTTTTAAAAATTATAAATAGCAGTTAAAATAAAACCTTATGCTAATATTATTAACACTCATTCATATACGGCAGCGAGGAATATCAACCTTGCGACCGGCATGCTGGCAGTACACAATGTAACCGAAACATTCACCAAATTAAAGCTTTGTAAAAGGAGGGGTCTCGTTCAGAACTTTAGCTTTGGCTTCAGTTCGTGCGCACGGCCGCCCCAGTCTAGCCGGTAGCAGCGAGTCCGCCACGAGATCTCGGGGTTTAGCAGGGCGGCCGCAAGGACGAACGGCGCACAGCACTCGCTCCACACCCACCCGAGGAGGAACTGCACTTTAGTAAACGGCGGCGACCCATTCTGCACCGAACGGAGTATCAACCAGTCCGATAGAAACCACGCTAGCACATGCACCAGGAAGAATGGTAAAGGTTCCGCCCCGAACAACTGTCCAGCGGCCCACGCTGCGCCGGCGCCGAGGGGCATACACTCGCTGAGGGGCTCCAACAATGCCGTCGTCGGCACCATGGCGATGCGGAGGCGCGCCCAGCGCGTCAGCCGCGCCTGCAGCGCCCCCACCGACCGTGTCCCGGAGTTCTGCAGCGCCGGCAGAGAGGCCACTCGCATTCGCCATCCGCGCGACACCACAGCTTTCGCCATAAAGTAATCCTCCGCTAGGTATTCGCCGAAAGCTGACAATCCTCCGCTCTCTTCTAAAGCGCACCTTCGCATTAAAGAAGACATGCCGACGTGACAATTTATGCCCAAAAAGTCGGCACCGAGATACATACGAGCCTGGGCCGTACCGAAGTAAACTTTTTCGTAAACAGCTGCAAACCCTTCGGCATCACACACGAACGGCATTTGGTGAACGATTGCGACGTCTTCTCGCATATGTTGTACCATATCGAGGAGAGTGTCCTCCCTCATCCGAATTCCGGCATCGCTTATTAGAATCATAGGATATTTTGCCGCCAAATATGCCGGCTGCATGTTGTTGATTTTCGGATTGACTCCGACGCACATCCCGCCGATGAAGAGCCGCGCTTCAATATGTGGATACTTGTGTAAAAGGCTGTTCACCAACATTACGGCAGGATCATGTTCACTCTCCACGCAAAATAACACTTCGTATGTTGGGTAATCGAGAGTGAAAAATGTTTCTAAATTAGAAAATAAATTGGGATCGACACCCGTCAAGGGCTTTAGTATTGAAACTCCTGGATATGGTTGTTCTGGAGGCGACCGGTCTACTGTTCTGTGTAATTTCCATTTAGAATATGATAAAGCCATTATGTGAATTAACCACAGACACACCCAAGCGATTATAAAAAATATGGCAAAACCATATACTGTATACACCATGGGGATCATAATTGAAAAGCTTTTATGTCGCTTTGGCTTTCGGGCCACATAATATCGACTGCTTTGAAGAGACCGAACCGTGCGCTATGATCATATCATAACACTTAACTAATTCAGAACAAGATAGCCGAAGTAAAATAACTGAATGTAATGATTCACTGGATATTATCGCGTCATTTTTATCACCAGAACACTTTGCGATCGCTTTTATCACGAATTCACGACTGTATTTTACGACAAACTGTTCATTTCATACAGCACAACACAAGGACAACCAATCCTCGACAACTTGCCGTCAATCCAACGAACGTAAATGTTGCCAGGTTAAAAGTAGAAAATGCTACTAGAACCCATATAAATTTACCAAGCATTAAAAATGTTTCAATTCTCGAAAAATTTCGTTTGTTATATTGTTAATATATTTTTACAGAAAGATGAACTTGAAGATAATTAAAGTTATAGAAGAAGTATTGAGGATTTTGAATTATAAAGAATTGTAGGTTATCAGGGTCATCTTTTAAAATTGTTATGGTTATGTTGTTGTTTATTGAAAACATAATTTTTAATATGCAACTTAGTCGAAACCCAAAAATTAATTCTCAGTTACAAACATAAATAAATTGCTTCAAAGCAACCCTACTAAATAGCGGTAAGTGATTTCATATGGCAATATTAGCATAGCAAGGTCTTTATTACTTTCTCCATTAGCATTGGTCTTCTATGGTCTTTGATTATCTATACTTGCGTCGTCGTAATATTCCCGCTTTTCACAAAAAATTTAAATTCGATATTATTGCTTTTCAATTTATTGAATTTGATATGGATGTGATTGAACATTTGAAAACAGTGTCCAATTTAAATCAGTATATGCAAGTATCTCAATATGTTGTATCTAATTTTGCAAGTTCTAAAATAGAATTAAACATGTCGACAATACAAGCATTAAACAAAATAAAATCATTTGAAATTGAGGTACAAATTTAATTTATACCATTAAAAATACTGCTCATGTCTAAATTTTAAAAAAATACTTTTAATAAAATTTTGTCTGTTTTAGTATTTCAATAAATACGAGGAGAACGGTGCTGGTATTAAAATATTTGATCTTATGTTGCTTAATCCGCCGTCAAAAACATGGGATTTACTTGGAAAAGAACTAATTTTACTACTACAGTACTGGCTAAATGCTTTGCGCAAGCATCTGATTATTCATAATAATAACTGGTGGCCGTTCTTGCAATCGATACTGAAGTTTGTAAAGGTATTTTTTTTTAAATATTACGTAACAAAAAAGATGAAAATATTAAGACTGCATTGAGACAATTTATTTTTGTGTTGACTCCATGTATAGATACGGAGGTCTTTATTATTTCTGACCGCACAACCCCTTGGACTAGTCCAGGTCGTCTTGTCATATGTCAAGATTTTTCATGAGATTTAAATAATTAAATATTGCAGGAATTAGGTTTAAAAGAGAGTAAGCTTAATGATATAATAGTAAAGGAAACAGCGGAGTGTCTACTTGATCTGGCTACTTATACAAAGCCTGATATCAACCAACGATATAAGATCCTTTGCGCTTTGAACGCATGCGGCGTCGCTTGCAGCAGGGAAATTCGTGTTGCGTTGAGAGGTCAATTTGAAGTATACTTGTAAGTTTTTTAATGTAAAATTTTATTTGTAGCTGAGTTTTCACTGCCGAAACACTTACAAAAACATATTTCTATGTATGTTTTATTTTGAGAGGATATTTTAAACAAATGTTTCACGCGTGTAGCAACTGGCCATCTGAATTCGCCGAAAAGGCGAAACTATTGCTGCCCATAGACATCGACAATTGCAAATGCGTTGACTACTTTTAATCGACGGATAAAGAGACGCACAGAACAAGAACATATCTTCTTACTATGGAGATTTTCTCCATCAAATCTACTTCCCCTATCCCATCCTTACCAATTTTTTTTTTTTAAGTATAAAACTGGCAGCATTGTTATCATCATGTGGTGATGCGTCAGTCCAGTACAGTATAATGGAAACCCTACTTCGTTGGTTGTTGCCTCGATATGTGATAGAAGTGAGACGAAATGCGGCTGTAAAATGGTTCCCCAGCCACTTATATGACAAGGAAACTGTTACTATGTTTGTTGAGAGACCTTGGAGGGATTTTTTTCAGGTATTACAATATTCAAAATTTATTACTGTTCGCAGTTAGTCTACAATACATAAAATTGTAATTTTACTCATAAGCGGCGAAATGACGAGCTGCCGTAAAGTTTGAATAGCACTATACATATGAAAGTAGAAGTACAAAATTAAATTTTGGTCTTTATTTAATATAGATATTATCAATCTGTCATAATCAAAATTGAGATAAAAACTTTTTACAATTTAAAATAGCGCCATCTAGTTTAAATTTGAAAAACAATCGATAAATCACAAGAATTTTACTTCTCAGGATACAAGAGACTTCCTCAACGCACACAATGCTCGTAGCGATCTGATTACATCTGTTATTTGTAAGAAATTAATTATCGGACAAATTGTTGTCATTACAGTGAGTTATTTCATTATTTTACACGATATATTTGAATCAATTTAAGGTTTACTCTTAAAATTATTATTTACGACTGTTATAATGCAGGTATCTCCAACAATGGTTGTATAGAAATAAAAAAAACAAGTCTAGTCTAGTCTAGAATACTAGTTTTGTACGTTTTGTAGTAGGTACAATCACGACCCTTTACGGTATTCCACTTACGGAGAAATTGTTCTTCCTTGCAACGACAGACTTTGCCATTTATTACAATATAACGAATTAGGTAGCAGTGAGTTGCACAAGGGACGTCTAAGTAGTAAAAAGTATATAAAAGTTAGTAGAGAGCACTTCGCCATTTTGGCGAATTAAGGTGGTTGCTTGCTGATTTGCAGTAATAATTGCTACACATTTATAAGCTGCATTCTTGGTTATAGTTTCCGTGTAATCTAAAAGTGTACAAAATATTCAAGCAACCGCAGTTTTTTAAAATGGAATACTGCCAGATTCCCTGATGCTACAATGTTTTAATGTGTAATTATAAAAATAAGGTTAAAGAAAGTAAGGAAAGGGAAATTTTTGCATTATTAACGGTTACCAGGGTTCGGAGAAATGTTACAATTGGCTAGACATCAACACAAGTACAAAATGTCTAACTGTGATGTTGGAGCCAAGGCTGCTGCGTGTTTTAGGCTGTGGATTACACGCGGAGGCTTGTGAGGCACTCGTTATAAACGAAGTTAATACTGACGCGGCGAAATTACGAAAGTAAAGAAAACTTTGGTTATTTAATTTAATATTAAACAGTGGTAGACGCCAACATCAGTTGCAAGAATGGTCTCATCCGCTGCAATACCACGACCACATAGAATACACACCTTAATGGAAGTCATTCTAAGTGCAGTCTGATCAGTGCGTGATGGAGGACTAATATTAGTTCTCTTCAAAGGATGAGAAGGGTAGATTTGACAGGGTAGAAGACATCGGAAGACTCTCAAAGCGCTTCTCCATTTAATGGAGGTTGGCCGTCATCTCAGCGAACTTTTGCCGATCTTGTGCCTAGCGAAATAAATGTTCCACGCTGGCAATATTCGTTCATTTCTTGATATTTCGACCACGATTAACCACGCACCTCTGACCATAGAGATAGGCAATTGCTACCTTTTATCTTATTGTAATTGTTGTCATGGTGGTTTCGCCATTTTAGCGAAATCATATAGCCGCCTTTTCTATTAAAATATAATTACAGAATAGCTCAGGAAGTATCAATATTTGTGAGGACATTAGAACCAGCACATTTGATACCGTCTGCAGTCAGCCTTACCACTGAAAACTGTAAAGAAATAAAAATTGTAATCAGCTCAAAATGCGATATGGGCAAAGTTGATTCAGCATTACGAAGAATATTCGCTAATAAATATCAGGTACTAAGTATATATGTATTTAACACCACATAGTTAATAGTAAATACTTAATTTTTTTTTACTAAATTTAGGTACTTTTCGACATTGAAAATGGTATCCCTATATCTCCACAAAAGAACAACAATAATCGTCAAGATACGTCTGTAAGTATAAAACGAAATCTTTTTTTTAATATTGTTAGGAAAATCCGAATCAATGCCGGTGTACTGGCACAACACTAGCCTTACAAAAATATCGACGTTTATGTCCCCTCACTAATCATTCTGACACTTGACTTTGTAACGAAAGCGCGCCATTCGCATCAAATGATTCTAATTAATAATGTCTAAAAATACATTTTTTTTTTAATTTTTAGTAACAGGAAATTTAAATTTAAATTGTTTTTGACGTATAAAAAGTTATTTTTAAACTGAATTAATTTGTAATGGCAACATTGATAAATGTAAACATATATTTTGTGATAGTTATGGAGGGTAGTTGAAAATATCTTACGCGTTAATTCTTTGTGGTTTCCTTTAGGAGGAAGATACGACATTCTCTATTCCTTCTGAACGTGTAAAGAGAATAAGAACAGGTAAGGAAATTAACATTGTTTAATACTAGCTGTCAACCGCGACTCCGTCCGCATGGAATTAAAAAAAAACATAATTAGTAGCCTATGTCTTCCGAACTATGTTCTAAATGTATGTCAAATTTTATCAAGATTCGTTAAGCCTTTCTGGAGATAACTTCAAACAAACATCCATCTATCCATCCTTCCATCCATAAATCCATCCAAACATTCGCATTTATAATATTAGTAAGATAGTAAGAAGTAAGATTTAGTTTGTAATTTTATCGATATCATTTTCTTATCATACACTTGTAACTTATAAAGATCTATTTGAAATAATCTATAACGAAGTTAAATCAATTGTAAAATATTTCTTGTAATACTTTGGACTTTGATAATATGATTATGTATTAATAAAATACTCGAGTTGGCACGTCGGACACAAGAGAACTCTTGCTCTTCACGTGCCATATCAAGTAAGTACGCGTATACAAGTTAAGTCTTGCAGTAAATTTATACTTTTCTATATACGATGTTATGACTATGAACAATATGCTATAATTAAAAAAAAGTTTTATAAAGTCCGATGAGTGCGACAAACTTATCTGGTCCAGTGAGGCGCAATCTCTCAGTAAATATATAAAATCTACCTCGGACATAAAAAACGATATCTCCAGTACGAAAAGAATATAATGAAACTTTTTTTGATATCTGCTGTTGTAATTCACCGAGCCAGATAAATTTGCCGGCCTGTATATACTTTATTATTTTGTTTTTAAAACGTACCATATAATCATTGTATAGGTATTATTGTTTTGAAATATCTAGGCGGCTCTTACGAGTCGCTACGCAGGACACAATGTTCGGCGTAACGGGATACGGGGGGAAGGTACTGTACAGCGCGTATATGACCTTGAGCAGCCGAGATATATGAAAAGAATAATACTTATGGTTTTCACGTTTGTAGGATACGTAGTAAAATCGAGGACTATTGGATCTGAGGTTTTGGCATCTTCGGCATCGACGACTTCCTTAGCACAGGTAAATTATAATTATTAATAAGTAGCAAAATAATTTGTAAAGAGAACTTTACCGGTTGGTCTGTTATAAATGACAGATTTTGTTTCATTTCAACTACGATTAGCGCCAAAATGGCGAAAATCAAATAGGTACAAAATACCAGGGCTTCTAGCCTGTCCATGTACAGAGGTACGAGGGTTCGATAGTAGATAAACACAATTAAATAAAAAAAAATTCCTTGAGCTTCCACTGCAGTGATATAAGTAATAAAGGGAATGAAGTCGTCTAGAAGAAAGTTTCAACATGTTTTTTCTTCGTAATACGAAGATTTTCTTCCTTATACTTTTTATACTAATCATACTAATGTTATAAATGCGAATGTTTGGATGGATGGATGGATGTTTGTTTGAAGATAACTCCAGAACGGCTGAACGAATCTCGATGAAATTTGGTATACATGTAGACCATAGTCTGGAAGATCACAGGCTAGTTATTAAGTTTTTTTTTAATCCGCGCGGACAGTGTCGCGGGCGATAGTTCGTATTAATCATATCGTAAAATACTAATGTGATTATATTAATAATTACAGCTTCACGAAAAGTTAGAAGAATTACCGTATTATGAAATCAAACACGATCGTATGAAAATTCCTTATCCCGGTTTATCGAGGATCACTGAAGCATCAGAGTCGGATGCGGGCAGGAGTTGTGAAAGTAGCACATTCAAATTTAAATCTTTTGGTGTATGTCAAAAGAGTACTTTTACACAAGCAGAAAAATCTAAAAGTAAAGAAGTAAAAACAAAACTCATATCACCAGCTGGAACTGATGAAGAAAATAGTGTTAGTTGTTTATTCGTAGCTACTATCGGATCCGCTGATGAATCAGTTATCAATGACACTTTAGAAAGATTACCTAAAAATAGAAATCCAGAAAATATCATCGATGTTTTAGTACAAGAAGCTTTTAATGCGAAAAATGCTAACGATAGAAAAGACAATTCAGAGGTTCCTAGGGAAAGTGATAATATTCCTAATAAACCTATTTTAAGTGATATAAATAAGATAAATAACAAAAAAAGTTGCACAATAATTAGTAATTCAACTTCTGAAGAAATTGTCGAAGGCACACAATTTAGTAATATAATATTCGAGAAGAGAAATATTAAAGAGAAATACATTATGAAAGAATCAGATATATATCCAGTTAAAGTTTCAAATGATAAAGTGGAAGAATTTTTTTCACAACATTTTAATAATAATCCTGTTACTGTTAGTCCTACTTTAGCGAGACAGCATAATGAAACAGAATCAGAGCCGAGTGAAGAAGAAATTCGTCAGATAGAGGATATGATAGCAAATGACTCCAATATAGACGAAGACGTTGAATTGTGCTTGAAATTTATTATAGACACAATATGCAATGAGTTTGAAATATATGAAGAATTGCATGAAACATCAATACTAGATAAAGATTATAGTATTCAAGACAAACCACAAGAAAACGAAGAAAACACAATTAAAGATGCAGACGATTTCAAAAGTCCTACAACTAAAGATAAATCAATTAAAAATATAACATTGAAATTTAAAAATCCCAAAAAACCCAATGCAAAGAAAACACAAAGAAAATTAAAAGTTAAATCCATTGAAAATACACAAATATCAAATAATTTAGAAGCTAAAAGGAATGCGAATGTGAGTTGCTCCGATACTTCCAATAATATAGAAGAAAATAATAAAAAAGTTAAACGTACTTTACGAAACAAGCGTAAATTGTATTCACCGAAAGATGATGTGTTTGATGAAACTGAAAATATAAATAAAGTCGTACATAATACAAAAACATATAATAAAACAAGTCCTATAGCATCTTACAAAGAAATAGAAAAAGAAAGGAATGAATACAGAAAGAAATTAAGAAATAAACAATCTAAAGAAAATAAACAAATCATCATATCGCCAAAAACTACAAAAATGAATGATATATTTGATACACTTAAAAGCAATATTGATAATAATCAAAAAATAACAATAGTAAACAAAACTAACACTTTAAATGCTGATATTTACAATTTCTCCAGCGATAGTGAGGATAACTTTAAAACTACTGCAGTGAAACATTTGTCCCCTAAAAGAAGTCCATTGGAAAAGAAATCTAATCAGAATAAGAAGACGTATTCAAGAAAAAATGCTAAATCTAAACCAAAATTTACTATTAAGAAGGAGAAGCTTATAGATGAAACAATGAGAGAAGCGCTTCCTGAAACTCTGGATACATCTTTCGAAGTTAGAAGGTCACCAAGAAATACAGCTAAAGAATCTCTACCAAATATAAAGGTAGAACATGAAATGGACGATATAGAAGAAGTAGTTGAAACCAAATGTAAAGCGAATAAAAGAAAAGTTAATATTAAATTAGAGAAAAATAAAAAAACTCCTTTAAAAAATAAAAAGAAAAATTTAAATAAAATCACAAATTATATAAAAGGTAATGAAACTTTTGATACAACAATCAGTCCTTTGCCAGGATTAATTGTAGAAACAATGCCTAATATAACCAATGTTTCAACTTCACCTAAAAGATTGGATAAAATCAGAGAAATGTACGTAGAGAGTCCTGAGAAATTTGAAAATTTTAATACAACGCAAAATTTACTAATGGATTTGGATCAAACTAGCGAATGTGGTGTTCAAGAGATTGAACATTTTGCTGAAATCCATCAAAATTCTCTGGATACTTCACAATCTAGGATACTGCGTTCTCAGAAAAAACAAACGCCAACTAAAAAGGTTGTCGTCAGTAAAAAAAATGATTTATTAAAATCTATAAAGAAAAATAAGAATAAAAGAAGAAATGAAATTAATCCCACAAGATATATTATCGATATATCAGCTGATTCCAATTCAGAGAAATCTATAAACACAGTTGGCATTTGTCCCATAACTGCACATGGAGATTTTGAAATGTGCTATAACGATTTACCACCAAATCAAGACATTTTAAATAAAACTATCGAACCGAGAAATCTCGAAATCGAAGAACAAAACGAATCGATAAAAGAACTTTACATGCAACTTCAAAACGAAAGACTAGAAGATAAAACGAGAAAAAGCTTTCGAAATAATATCGAAAGTGTTAGTACTAGGAAAAATTCTCCGTTAAAAATAATGAAGATACCTTCTGATGATTATATTAAGTATCTACCATCTCTTCGAGATTCTGACACAAGTTCGAATCATAGTGTCGATGAATTACTAGATAAACCTAGTTTTGTTTCCAATAAGTCTATTTCTAGATCCAAAATAAACTCTAAAACATCGGATAAAAAAAGAAATATATCTCGTAAATCACAAATATCCCCAATAACACTATTTCATGATGAAACACAGAACAAAAATCATTCGCAAAGCAACCGTTCTATAGAATCGGATGGAGTTGAACAAGTTAAAAATTTGTTTTACAAATCAAAATTAACAAATAAATCAACTACAATGAAAACAGCAACACGAAATTCTGATACGAATTCATCAAAGCGAGAATCTTTAAGAGATTCAGTAAACACATTAGTTAAAAGAAAATCTTCTCAATTACTCGATATGAATAAAAAGAGGAAAATAGAAGCTGGTATGTCAAACAGTCCAATACAAAGCTTAGAGAATGTCTCGTCTTCTAATGTTAATAATTGGATTGACCAATGTATACCCAACATTAGCAGAGGTGAGTTTTCTATTATTTTAGATAAATAACACGTGTATAATTCTTTTCAAATGTCTTGGCGGCTCAAGGTCACAGCTGCCCAAAATACAGAGCCGCCAAGATATCTGAATACGTTTATACATTGTCAAAGAATCGAGGTAACAAAATGGGTTTCTAAACTATTAAATTTATTATTAAAAGAAAATTGCATATTAATTTTGATCTGCATAAATATTTTTTTCATATAATATATTTATTAACGTAACTCTTTATAATGACTAAAATAAAATTAAAGAATCTTTGAAATTTCAATATAAAAGTTAACAGTAACGTATTTTTTTTTTGTTTTTTTTTCAATTATCCAGATGGTATGAGACACAGTTATGATGACAACGTTCGATGCATTTTGGAGAAATTGGACACAACTCTTGTTGAAATACATCACAATACTGATAGAAGGTAAAAATACTTTTTAATTATAAAAAGAAATGAACAAATGACACGCAACTTTCGAATAAAAGGGGTGGTAAAAGGTGGAAATAATAAAAGGTGAAAGGTGGTACAATTGGATTGGTAAAATTGGGGGGAAGTCAAATGTTAGGATTTTTAAAAGATGAGGGGTAGTAATAGGTGAGAGAATTTCTTGTACTTAATTCGCAAATAGTATTTATATAATTTTTAATGATTTTTTTTTTAGATTTGTCAAGACATTTGTGGAGACACAGAAGAGGTTCAGCGAGCTGAAGAGGATACACCACGAGGTGTACGAGGAGACATTGAGGGATCTTAATTACAAATTCAAAAGGTGAGCAGTCAGAGAATTTAATTCCCTTCCCACTTAGCATCGCATCTAATTTTGTGAAAGTCAAATTATATTTTCATATTGAATTTATGAGTTTTTGGGACTACGATTTTTTTTAATTCCAAACCAGAATTTAGTACTATATTATATATAACTATAGTTATGATATAATATTGAAAAATAATTACATTTTTTAATTTCAATAATGATATTTTTTTTAAATATTAGCAGTTTTTTATAAATTTACTAATATTTCTTATACCATTCTAGCTAAGCTCTTACCCTTGTGCTAGGATATGGTTTACATTAGTCTAATGATGGAATTCGAACCCCCGACCTCGTGATCGGGAATCCGTACTCATAACCATTAAGCTATTGACGCTTCAAATTACATTATATTGTAGATTACAAGAAATGTCTGATGAAATATTCGAAGACATGAAATCTAGAATGAGAGATGTTATCACAGAAGATAGGAAGCAGAAGATAGCAATGGTTAAAATTCTTAAAGAGGATGTACAGGCTGTGGTCGATTTTAACGCGAGGAGAAATAAATAATGTGGGTTTTCATTGTTGATAAACTTGTTGAATGTTTCCGCAGTGGAATTGTACGTTTATTATAAATTTATTTTGATTTAAATATATAATATTAGAGACAGGTTTCTCTTACATATGTATTTAATGCGACCTAATATTTAAAAAAAATATATCAAATTTTTGTAATATAAAAAAGTCGAGTTCAAGTTACTTTATACCGTTAAAAATAATATTTTGCTATTGTTTAATATTTATAAGAAAATATAAAATGTTTTATAGTTTATAATTCATTTTTTTTGTTTATGGAACAGTTCTTCTGTCTATTTTAAATTTCGCAATAATAAAATAAATCCCGCAAATTTTTCATATTTACACAATTCATTAAATAAGATATTTTAGATGTGGAAATATTAAAAAAAGTTAATGAATAAAATTAAAAAAAATGTACAATCTTTAGTAAAAAATTTAATTTCTTTTTCGTAGCATGGGTTTATTTTATTATTATAAATGTACTTTTTAAGCTCGCTACACACCTCATTAAACTGTGCAGCGAGCCTAATACAATACTGTCATTTAAAGTTCACAATTATTTGTTTGTTATATCGTCAGAATACTTATTATTTCAATCACTTATAGTTGGTTTCTGAGACCAAAATGTATAAAACATATCGTCATCCCTGTCATTATCTTTGACAAAATAGAGATGACAATATGTTTTACGAGTTCTTCAGTGGCTCTGCGAGTAGCAGTATTTTTTTTTAATTTGCCCAATTTATTGAAGTACTTTGCAAGTACTGTTTGCAATGAATTTATGGCAATTTCCTCTTTAATTCTTTCTTAGGCTTGGACAAGTTATAGTTCTTTTCAAATATCTTGGTTGCTCAAGGTCATGTCTGCTACACATAAAATTGTGTTTTGCGGAATGACTCGCGCGAAATTAAGAGCCGCCAAAATATATGAAAACTACTATACATTTGCATCGACACGTTATCCCTTGCTTTCTCTTGGAAAAAATCTGACACGTGTCTACAAATGTCACTGCAATCTCAAGCCAATATTTACGATATTTGTTTTGTTTGTTATTAGGTTTTATTAATTCTTTGCTTTATTTCTAAATAAAACTTGTTACTAATGTAAGTTAGATGTTATTAAAATAAAAGTTTAAGGAAAATAAATATTTCTAGAACAAACATTGGCCTTTTTATTTATGTCATAAAATTAAAAAAAAAACTTGTTTATAAAAATAAAACACCCTGTATCATTTTCAATATTTATTAACGTCACCACACTTAATTATGACACATACTGTATGTAATCTATTTTACAATTATTATATTAAGAAAACAGTTTTATGGAAAGAGCAGGCGACTTACAATGGATTTAGTAAATACAGTCGAACCTGGATAAGGGAGAGTAAAAGAGTCTTGTAGAGGTTTCTCTCTAACCTGAGTTTCTCGCTTTTGGAAGTCGTTCGTTGTGACCGGACAATGATTCTCCCTTATCCAGGTTCGACTGTATAAAAGGAGATATTATTTTTAATTATTAAGTGTGATAATCTTAAAAACATATTTACATAGCTTACATTAAGAAATCGCACGACCTCTAAGTTGTCATGAACGTAACTTGATTTATATAAGTTGTCTAATATTAAAAAAAAAAGTAAATAATAATTCATGATTATTTTTTGTCCAAAATGGGTACAGATTTTTTAATGAACTAAATGCTGCTTCGTTAATTAGTTACCACTAATTACCACAAAGTGAGTTTCAGAGACCAAAATGTCTGCATAAACATATCTTCGTCTCTGTCATTATCTTTGACAGAACAAAGACAACTATATGTTTTAAATCAGTGGTTCCCAAACTTATTTTGTCTACTTTGAGAATAAATATTTGTTTAGCGCCCCCATATTTTCACATATTTAAAAACCACTATAACTTCAAATTAAATTAATTAATTATTGTGACCTATATATGTATATTAACGGAGAATTCTAAACGAAACTTTTGCTATAACCTTGAGACCTGCAGCGCCCACAAGGGGGCGTTATCGCGCACTTTGGGAAAGACTGTTTTAAACGGAGATACTGATCTCAGAAACTCACAGTAAGAAGACTCGTAATTTCATCGTAACAAATTTCACAGTCAAAATGTATTGAAAAGTGAACCTTAAACTTTAGTGCACTAAATACAAAATGGCTTAACACAAATTGTTCGATATCTTAAAGCAAAATTCGGATTTCTTCTCTAACTATATCTATATTAAAAAAACCGCACAGAACCACACTAGAGCATCACAACCAGCTATTTTAATCACAAGTTGTACCAATGTACTTTATAATATACCAAAACCCAACCTCTCCAAAGTATCACACTGTGCCCAAACAACCTGGATATAGTCTGACCGGGAATAATTTAAATCTTTTACATTGAAACACTTTTAACTCTGTATTTATTTTAAGCAAATTTCATAGATTTTTTTCGTATTATGGTCAGGTTTTTTATATTCCTGGTCAGACTGATTACGTACAAATTACATGTGAATAAAAAAATAAATTAAAAACAAACCTTAATCATAATTGTGTTACAAATGTCGTACCTGGTCTAAAAATAAAAAAATAAATTCACTCATTCATATTAATTATTAAGAATTTGATAAAAACTAGATTTGTTAAGTATGAGCTTAGTTTTCATAAAGATTTAGTTTATTTTTAGTAGCAATTCTTACACCAAAAAAAATAATAGTTTAAACCAATTCTTAAGTAGTTCATCATTTTGACAACACTATCACTGTAATATTTTTTTACAAATAACTGGAATGGATTTTTTAATATTAATTTTTAAATATCCTGTAATATTAATCTGGCATTCAGACATTAATCAGGGGTTTCCGAGACAAAAATCTCTGTAAAAACATATCATGCCTTATATTTGACAAAACAGATAACATGTTTCAAACTGGTATTTTGTTTTCAGAAACTCACTGTTAGTATTGTTTATACTATTACGTATATTTCTGTTGAAAAATACGTAATTTTTGTACAGTATCTTACAAAGTATGACGTCATTATACTAGATACAAGTAAATATCAAGAGAGGTAGATATATACATTATTCTTGAAGCCCGCGTGTTTCCATTGTTGAAACACTTGTACAGAAACATACTTCATGTTTTTGTACATGTATTTTTGCAGTGAAAACGAACCAAACAGTTACAATAATGATAAACAAATAGTAAATTTGTTCTTCTGTGTAAAACTTAATCTTATTCGTCCATGTTTTTTCATATATGCATAAAGCCTATATACATTTAGTACGTGCTTGTGCATATTGGAAGATTTAATTAGTTTTAAATGTAAGAAATTAAATCAGACTGACTAACCGTGGGTTTCTAAGACCAAAATCCTTCTATAAAACATATCGTCATATTTACATAATCTTTGACAAAACAGAAATAATCTATATATATATAAAAGTCGTGTTAGTTACACTATTTATAACTCAAGAACGGCTTTACCGATATGCCTGAAAATTGGTGAGCTTAGAGCATGGAGACGGACATAGGATATTATTTTTATTTTTTTTATTAACTTACTAATATTATAAATGCGAATGTTCAGATGGATGCGATGTGGATGGATGGGTGGGCTGCACTAATTAAGTTGTTTATATAACCACGCGGACGGAGTCGCGGGCGACAGGTAGTATGTTATAAACGGATATTGGTCTCAAAAACCTACAGTAAGCTTTCGGAAAATATCTACATTAAGAGTTAATTTTAGCTTGTTTGTACATTTAATAACTTTAAAATTTTACTTAAAGATTTTAACTTGTTTTTTACTTTATCCGTATTTATGTTCAAACTACATACATTTAAACATTTATGAAAATAACATGATTTTACATATGAATGAATTTTGACATCTGAAATAGAAATGTATTCCACAAAATACAATAAGACAATGTTTAAACACGTGTTTTAACCCTTTCACCGCCGGCCGATATAGACGCGGTTGTAATATAAAAGGTTATGTTTTTAACCTTAAATCATCATCATCATCAACTCACTATACGTCACCACCGAGGGGCTCGGAGCCTACCCTAAGTTAAGGGTGATTACGCCATAGTCAACCACGCTGCCTCAGTACGGGTTGACTTCAAACATCTTAGAATTTCTTCTGAGATATGTGCAGCATCACGATGTTTTACTTCACCGTAAGAACGTTGGATAAATGTACATATGTAAATCGGGAATTCGAACCTTGGACCAGGAGATTGCAAGTCAAGTGCTTAACCCCTGAGCCACCGATGCTCAACCTTAATTAGGTAATAAATATGTCTACAAAAATGCTTCAGATATAAATACTTTGTTATTTATTTGTCAAGATCATGTTTCTGAAGCCTGAAGTTTTTTGATAGTCTAATATCATTTTTCGGGAAAGGGTTAAAATTTTAAGTTAAAATTTCATTGAAATACTAAAGTCTTTGTAGTTAGGCCCTAACTTTAATATATAAGGTTATCTACAAGCTTTATCGATGTAAACTACATTATGTGAATATTTACGTAATCCATTTGATCTTTGTAAGAAATATTTTTTGTATAGCAAATTTTATATCTTTTTATGGCAACATATATAAAAATCGTATTTAAATCACAAAATAGAAATATCATTAATTCATAAACAACTCATCTTGTTTGCAAACTGGAAAATCTGCATCTGAAATTAAAAAAACAAAACATTATATTAATATTTTAGTAAATAATATTTCGATTTAATAATCAAACATAGAATGAAAAGTTAAAATCTAATTTTATATCAAAATTATCAACAGAATTCAACATCATCATCATATTCAGCCCCAATTTGTCCACTGCTGGACGTAGACCTCCCCCATCGATTGTCACAATGCCCGGTCCCGTGCCGCCCGCATCCAGTGCAACAGAATTATTTAATAATGGAATATTGCTCATTTTGCTTATAAATAAGTTGTACCAATTTACTCCTAACATTGTGTTCTGTACATCAACTACGATGTTCGGAGCCGCCGAGATATTTGATTTTCTCTATAGTTATAAATCTTTGATTTGTATAGATTGGAAATGACAGCTTATTCTTGACAGATAAATCTATATTATTAGTTCAAATCTTCACCACTATTAAACTCTACCAGCGCCAAAATGGCGAAAATCAAGGAATAAAATATAGCCTGTCCATTTACTATTAATATAGAGCAGTTTTTCTCAAAGTGGGCGATAACGCTCCCTTGTGGGCGATGCAGATCTCAAGTTGCGGATTATAGTAAAAGTTTCGTTTAAAATTCTCCGTTAATATACATATATAGGTCACAATAATTAATTAATTTAATTTGAAGTTATAGTGGTTTTTAAATATGTGAAAATATGGGGTCGCTAAAAAAATATTTATTCTCAAAGTGGGCAGTAGACAAAATAAGTTTGGGAACCACTGGTATAGAGGTTGTCAAATATCTAGGCAGTTCAGAACACACTGTTAGGTACAATGAAATGCGGGGGAGAGGGCACCGAGGACATGATCTAGAGCGGACAAGACATATGAAATAAGCTATACTGACTTAGGTAAGCTATATTGTGTAGTTCAGCGCTTGGTGTGGAACTCAGCGATGCAGAGGGCGCAGGACCAGGATCCCTCAGGCGGTGTGTCGAGCGGCGGCGCGAGGCAGTACATGTGGTAGCCGCGGTCACAGTCGTCACAGAACAACAGCTGGTCCTGGAATTTCATTATTATTTATTTACTAATGATATTCTTCTCTGCGAATACAATTTGTTGATGTTTGGTTTAGTTTTAGTATATAGTTTATAGTATTATTTTGGTAGATTATTTAATTAGTCATTTAATAATTAATATAGAGTTAAGTAAGTCTTATTGAAATATGTTGTATCAACTTACTTGTTAAGATATTAAATTTAAAAACTTATACTTACTACTTGCTTACTAATTGACCGATTATTACGAGATTTGATTATGTAACTTCATTCTCACCAGTAATTTAATAAATATCAATTTAAAATTAAAAACTAATTAACTAAATGATTAATACATAAAAAGTTGATTACATCTTGGACTAAATAAAACTCCTAAACATTCACATAAAATCATACTAATATTATAAACTAGCTATTGCCCGCGACTTCATTCGCACGGAATTAAAAAAAAACAATTGTAGCTCATGTGTTCTTCTAGGCTATGTTCTACATTTATGCCAAATTTCAGCGAGATTCATGCAACAACAATAACCGCTCTAGAGATACCTTCCAATAAACATCCATCCATACATCCAAACATTCGCATTTATAATACAAGAAAGTTTAGATGTATGTTTGTTAGAAGGTATCTCCAGAACGGCTGAATCGATCTCGTAGAAATTTGACACAGATGTAGAACATAATCTGGAAGAACACATAAGCTACTAAGTTTTTTTTAATGCACGTAGAAAGTTGCGTGCGACAGCTAGTATTAGATATATATAATATTTACATCATTATCGCTGGTGCCGCAGACGGAGCAGCACTTGCACTCGATGCACTGCCACCTGTACTTGCGCACCGACACTATCATATTCACTGTGAACTGCAGACACGTCGGGTGACCTGCACACATACACACAAACATTATATATATACATATATATACACTATATAACTGATTAATATTTCATAATAAAGATGGTAATAATTGAAAATATAATCACATCATATCGACCTTTGAACATATTTTTTTTTTTCGATTTTTTTAACGTTTAGTCTCAAAGCCTACCCTGAATCAAGGGTCTTAGTCTAGTTTTTTTATATAAAAAATAGATAGAAATTAAGTTTTCTATTTTAGTCATATCGTAATTTATACAATACTAGCTGTCGCCGGCGACTCCGTCCGCGTGGATATATAAAAATCTTAATATATAAAGTTAGATAAAAAGCAGCTCTTCAAGGCATAAATTCGAAAACAAAATATGAATAAATAGTATCCTATGTCCGTCTCCTGGCTCTAAGCTACCTCCTCAACAGTTTTCAGCTATATCGGTAAAGCCGTTCTTGAGTTATAAATAGTGTAACTAACACGACTTTCTTTTATATATATAGATATATAATCTTAATAATATTATAAATGCGAAAGTATAAATGGATGTGTTTGAACATATCTCCGGAACATATCAACGGAATTTGATGAAATTTAACACAAACATATAAAATAGTCTGAAAGAACACATAGGCTAATAATTTCTTATTTCAACCACACGAACGGAGTCACGGGCGACAGTTACCATTTATAACATTGTAAAAAGAAATTATATTTTCAATTATCACTATCGTATTTGTTCACATATTGTAAGGCACATCTTACCTTTTATCGATTTTCCAACACAACACAAATCAACATCACGGAACCATCAAATTATACCGTAAAGGGATCATGTGCCGAACAATAGTGAAAATAAATAAAAACAATTAAAAAAAAAACATTCACAAGTTAATCAATGAACAAAGTATCAATATTTATATAAGGAAGTGCACCATTTCACTATTCTTCAGCACACCACAATGAAACGCCAAAGTTTATTCAACTTTAATATTTATATAGGAAAGAAAAATATATTACAACGTGTACAAAACAAGTCATAACGGGCCTTATTCTACGCGTAGTCTGCAAAAATATCTTTAATAACTTCTGTTACTTTCAAATATCAATTTAAACTCGCACAAAAAACAAAAAGATTTTATGTTTCTTATCGTGAGTTTCTGAGACAAAAATCTTTATATAAAACATATCGTCATCCCTTTCATTATCTTTGACAATACAGAGATAACGATATATTTTAAATGGATATTATGAACTCGGAAACCCAGATTTAAACACATTTAAAGATATTTTTACAGACTATATTTTATAACGCAAACAAAATCAATCTGATAACATATCTTTGGGTTTTTCTACAATGCACTTCCGTACTAAATCTTGATACTTTGGAATTATTTTTAATCTATAATACGAAAACATATTAAACATATTTCTCCCTACATTTCTATATATCTAATTTTCATATATAACCATTAAGTAAATAATTTACATGCCATAATAAAACAATAATTGAATTATTTTATAATAATAATAAAAACGTAAAAATATATTTTTTAACTTTAAAATATATGGAAATATGAGAAATTTATATCTAACTTACTTCATACTATATTATATATTGGTTACATACAGACCGACAAAGTTATTTACCCCGGTGCGAATAAGCAATATAACACTAGCCCACTAGCGCCCTCCTTTCAAAGTCAAAAAGTTCTTTTTTCTTTTATATAATTTTCTATGCCTAAGTCTTCCATCAATCACGTGATATTTTTTAGCAACTTTTTGATTCCCTCCTGATATTTATTGCGATTTAAAACCTCATCATTGTACTTTTTAGTACAAACTCATTTTTTTTAGACCTTACTAAGTATTTAACGTATGCTCCTAGATTTATTTGGTACCTCCCTCCACTTACAAAGATAGTAGGATTAACGGACAATCCTTTTTTTTAATTATTTCCTGACAACACCTTTTTCACCGGGACAGAAACTTTGTCGTACTATATGTAAATTTATAATAATTTTATTATAAAAAAAACTGGGTAAACTTTTAACTAAACAATATCTCTTTAATATGACATTAAAAACATTTCTATAGTATATTATATATCTTAACACCAAAGCATATATTGGTAACTAATACTAGTATATAAGTGTATTATATATTTCGAATTGTCATAGTAACATAACACAATTAAAACTTAAAAATATTTTATATTTAAAAAAAAACTTTGTATTATAGGAATGTATGTTAAAACTTAAGTCTTTTTGTCTAACTTAAAATTTAGTATCAAAATCGTATTCGATAGACTTTTTTTTATGTTTCCATTTAAAAAACATAGACAATATGATTGTTTAAAGATAAATTAAATTAAAAAATTACGATACAAAATTCTAGACTCTTTTGGCTTGACATTAAATCTAAGTTCTTGTTTTGAATATTTTCTAGATTTGTCATAGTATTTATAAAGTCTATCAAATATGATACTACAAAATCGAGACCTAATTTATCTTTGGGTTAGTTTTTTTCCAAAACAACATTCACGGTACATTCATACACAAAACGTAAAGGCACTTCGCAAGCTCTACTACATTTTATAAAATTTCAATATTGCTTCAAAGATATGTGCTTTTTTTTAAGAAATTACAAAATTTTTGTAAAAAAAAAATCAACATGCAAGATGTTTTTAAATATGTCGACGACTGTACATTTGCTACTACAATAAAAAAAACGAACTTAAAATTCAAATTGAAAAAAAAATGTTATCAATATTTATTGTAACCAAATAAAAAAAATACCACGAATTTGGCGCATATTGACTAGACTAAAAAAACCTAGGATTCGATGTACAGTGACCTTCACTGGCGGTGTTGGAATTACTATACTACGAGTGAAGGTGACTGTACTAAGAACATACACCATTAACTGTAGGTTTCCGAGATCAAAATCTCTGTATAAAACATATCGTCCTTGTCCGTCCTTTGACAAAACAGAGATAATATGTTTTATGATTTTTTGTCTTAGAAACCTACTAGAACTATTAAAAGGTCACGAATATCTAACATAGATTAACAAGATGATTATTTTTTTATGGTAAACTATACAATCAAATCGTGTATTTTGTTTTTTTTAAATAATTGAACAAATCAAATGTTAATTTTATAACCAAAATTGTGATATTTATAAAAGAGCAATATATTTTTTTAAATCGTAATAATTTACAGATATGAATAATTTTGAACGATACTATTTTTAAATTTGATCACAATTCACCAATCTTTTAAAAAATATCCAGAATTAACAATTAAAAAAGATATTAAAAATCGAAGGCACATTTCCACTATAGGGAGACGCAAAACTCTCTACAGACAAACAAAAATTAAAAAAAAAACATTTTTTTTATTATTTGGCAACCCTACTACTTAAAAACTCCCAACATTTTATTATATTTTTACTAATGAATTATTAATTGTTACATTTTTAAAAAATTTGATCTAAACATTTTTTTAAAGTTTTTGGCAATCAATAGGATTTATTAATTGTAAAGTGTAAAGAACGATAATATAATTTAAATATATACCCACATAGTCAAATAACAACAGTAAATATATATATAAGTCTGTGACAAAGTCGATACATTCACATGAATAATTTTATATACATAAGTTATGTATATTTTATAATATAACTACTTATATATCTAGAATAAGAGATATGGAATGTTTGAAACTGTCTCAACTCTTAAGCTGCTAGAGACATAATGGAAAGTAATATTTTTTTTTAAATATACAGATAACCAATTTTTTTTTCTACTAATTTTTTTTCCATTTATTCATTTGTAATATTTTATTACAATAATGACAACATATTTAATATAATTTGCAACTAAAAGGAAAACACCAAAATTTAAAAAAAAAAAATAAAAATAAAAAAATGTATACAAAAAATACAATTATTTTCTAATTAACTATGTGTTATAAGAATAATCATTATTATATGATTTTTATCAGTAGAGATCATACGGAGAGAACCACACACATCTTTGGTAAAAAGCATTATTTTTAGAAATTGCATTTTGTGACCAGTGGAAGTCGACCTTAAATATTATTTAGTCTTCCAAACAGGCGGATTGAAAGACCTATATCATATTTTTAGAGAAAAAAAAGAAAAAATCAAATATAGAGTAAAAAAAAAGTGCAATATTAAAATAACATCCTTAAGTATATGAAAAATGTTTACTTTTACTTCTGAGTAATAGCTAAATTTAAGAAATGTCATGATAGCTTATATATTACATAGAATCTATATATTGTATATAAGTTAACATATAAATATATTAAATATTCGAGTTAAACACATTAAATAGATACCAAAAATAGTAAGACAAGAAACCAATATTTTAATAAAATAGAAAAAATCTGTATTTGATTTTGTTAAAAATTAAAAATGACAAAATCAAATACAAGATTTTTTTCACACAAATATTACCAATATTAAATAAAAAATCCGCCTGTTTGGTTATTTTAATTACCCGTACCATTAACATGGACTTCACCTAAAGTATCCGATACGGGACTTTGTCTGGACGAAGGAGGTGATACAGGATATTCTCCGTATTCATGATTTTGAAGCAATTTGGTTTGATTAGCAAAAGTATCGAAATCATCCGCTAGATAGGACATAGAGGTAACTATGTCAACTACACCGTTGAGTTTTATGTTATTGAGTTGTCTATGACGTTCGCAGATACGGTTGATGAGATGATAGCAAGGCGTAGACTTGGGTATACCGTTCCGTGGTGGTCTGCCGCGTCTCTTACCTGACCGTCCGCAATCAGAGCAACTGACTAACTTCTCCGGTGTCCCCGTCTTCTTGTTCTCTCGATCGTCACCCAAACAGAAGTCGCAGTACGGTGAGGGTGATGCCTACAATATATTGATAAGTACAGTCAGCACATAACATAAAAATTTGATGTTATAAATAAAAAAGTGACGATATTTTTTTTCTTACGGCGAAGGAAAACATCGTGATGCAACTGTAAATATCTAAGAAATTCAAAGATATTTGTGAAGTCAACCCGCACTGGGCCAGCATGGTTGACTATGGCCTAGTCATCCCTAACTTAGGGTAGGCTCCGAGATCCTGAGTGGGGACGTATAGTGAGCTGATGATAATTTAAAAAAGTGTCCACGAACCTTAGTTTCAGGTTCCTTGAGAAGGGGCAGCGCGGTGGGGGGCGCGGCAGGTGTGGCGGGGGCGGCGGTGGAGGAGCCGGGCGAGGGTGAGGGCGCGGGTGCGGACGCTGGTGCAGGCGTAGGGGCGGTGGCCGAGGCGGCGCTGCCGGGCGCTACGAGGGGCGCATGCGCAGAATCCGAGGATGATGTATCCGCAGACATAGGCCGCGGTGGAGGCGACGGCTTACGCAAGGGAGGCGTCGCTGTGCCCGATGCTATAAGAATAGACGAGTGTGTTTACTGTTTCCTTTATTCTTTAAAGAAAAGTTAGTAGCACGTAGTCTAAATTAAAACTTTTTTTTTAATTTTGTAGGGTTTTAGTACTATAACGTTATAAGATTCGTTCTATAGATTCAAAAATTTGTAACTTTAAATTTTAAAAAATGGTATAAAATTGTCCCTTAAAAGTACTTAAATGAAGATTTCTAATACTTAACACTAATTATCACTTTAAAAGAGCATTTAAGGAGTCAGTTAACTTTACTTACAAGTGCCAACAGCGGGATTATTCAAGAAGGTGACATAGCTGTCCTGGTACTCAGTGGCGGGCTGCGCGGGCGCAGGCGGCGTGTGCGCGCCGGGGCGACTGTCGCGGGAGTCACCGTCGCTGCATGGCGCGGTGCCGGCCGCTGTGCCGGGGTCCTTGTGCGTGTGTGTGAAATGATACGTCAGACCGGGACGCGTCTTGTATTTAGCTCCGCACACTGAAAATAGATTGTATGAAAATATTGATATATTTTTTATAACATAGACCAAGAAACTTATCTGATCAGATAAATGAAATTAATTAATAATAAGTCATTAGTTCTGCACCCATCTTAATAAAAAAATACCACAACTTTTTTTGGTCTGTAGCCATGTCTTGTTTTGTCTGTCGTTTTCTATGCCTATGTTTGTGCAGTTCTTGAGATAACGCGCGATATCAGCCCATTAACGAGCTAAATTAGTCGCAATATACAAATGTAGAGTTAATAAATCACAGATATACCCATACAAACATAGATACATATAGACACGGACATAAAAAGAATGAAAAAAAAAGGTTTTTAAGTCGTATACATAATATTTTTTACTCACCGTACGTGGTGCCTCCATCCGCTATCATTTTGCTCACTTGTTAACGCGATTAAAAAAACTCGAACCGATATTTAAATATTATTACGACATTAATAAAATTGGGGTAAACGAGAGGTTTGCGTCATCAGAACAGAGCATAGAGGAGGCACCACGACGCCATCAGATGTATGGATTGGACGCAGTTTTCCATAGTTATCCGTCATCAATCAATAACTTACTTTATTTAAAGAAAAAAAATCATTTAAACTTATAAAACGTCATCTTACAAATGTCACGGTGACAGCTGTCAATTTGCAAATGTCAATTTAGATAATTTGAAGTGGGTTTTCTGAAAAAAGTATTAAGAGATAGCATGAAATTGTAATATTTAATATTGAACGTTTAAAAAAGCACTTTTTAAGGAGTATTTTATGAAAGAGAAAAGATAAAGCTAGCAACACTTTTGTTAGGGAATTTTAAAGTCTTCTATATTGAAGTTAAATTTTTGATACATTTGTAAGTGAACGTTTTATAAACTGACGGCTCGTCGTGTAAATTCTATGTTCAGTTCTAAAGACGCAGCCTCCCGGGGGATAAGTTTGATTGATGACTTCAAATCAATGGATCCCTGCTCCGCTACAAACACAAATAAAAGAATATATAGAAATTTTCCATTAAGAAAAAAAACGAGATCCAAACTTGAAAGTCCAATCAAAATATACCTCAAAGGTTTTTATTTTTTAGTTTTTGAAAAAAAAATTTTTTCAAATTAACTAAGTTAATTTTTTTTTCAACCAATGAGTTGATAATACAAAAGAACATTTTTACCTTTGATATTTTTATTTCTTATTCAACATAAATATTATTTTTTTTTGTATAAATTCATAACAATCTTTGGGTGCTAATAATAGTTTGGATCTAAGAACAAGAACAAGTTCCTTATACTTACACACCTCAACTATATTTACTTTTAGACAAAACTTATTAATATAATGCAATGACTAAAATTTTGCCTTAAATTATACACAAAAAACAATCTCAAAATTCATGTAAAAGCCATTTCTTGGTCATTTTAATATATTTAAAAAGTACTACAAGCTAATTTAATATTGATTTCGGGGATGTATATATTTTTTCTTACCGTGGGTTTTCATGGAATGAACACTAAAATCAAAATACATTGCCATCTCTTTCCTTTGCTTCGGAAAATCAGAGATGACAATAAAAAAAATCCTTTAAAAGTGCGAACAGTGTGAACCTATAACATATACTTCAGCTTTAATTTCAAACAAATTCATACAATCCATCATAATTTTCATACATCCATGTACATTTTGAAAATGGAAGACACACGTCCTATTTCATACCAAATTTAAAAAAATCCACAGACTTGTAAAGGGAAAACTTTAGTCATTGCGAGAAATATACTAGATATTAAAAAGACCTTAAAAAGAGACAAAAAAAATGAAATAAATAAATCTATCACAGATGCATGAGTCATACATACAAAGAACCAATCAGTGCAGTAATTTAGGTATTGATAAAAAAATTGTAATGATTTCAAACATATCATTTATAATAGGATAGGATCCGCGAGTGAGCACAATTGCACTATAATTATAGACATAAAAAATGAAAAAAAAAAACATTTTTTTTTCCATTTTTTTAACCCAATTTGGATTTAATTAAATTATTCAAACTTTCGTGAGACATTATACTAAACTGATATATAAACACGGCTAAACACTGACTTATATACGTCCGGTGGCGACACCGACTAGTTTCAAGCCCATCGGGGGCCCTTCATCAGGATGAGTGGTACTGGTATTATTTCGCGGACGCGGCCCGTCGCTCACTGGCTTGATAGAACTAGTAAACTAGTCGGTGCCGCCACCGGACGTATATAAGTCAGTGTTTAGCCGTGTTTATATATCAGTTTGGATTTAATTAAGCTAATTTGCTATAAAATCGGACTTCAGATGAAATTAAAAAATTACCTAAGACATAGAAAAATTATAGTAGTTGTTTAATAAGTTAATGGTTTATATAGATGACATTAATTTTTTATAAAAAAAAATATTTTTAAAAAAATCTTCAGTATTCATAGTCACCATTAGACAAGTACTAAAATTCAAAATGTTATTGTAAAAAAAAACACATTGCATGTGAATATATTCAATCATTAAGAGATTTTTGCTAAATTGTAGCTTAAGCTGCCTAATATTTTCAATTTTTTTTTACATACAAAAAAATTGTCATTACCAAATATAACTTCGATTCATACACGCAAAAGTATATACTCATGCAATATGTTTGTTGTAAATCTATATATCTTAAGTCCGTAACATGTTGCATGTAATTTTATTTTACATATTTAAGGCGCATATTTTGGTCAGTCGTAGATCCTAATTACTTACTAGACTGTATTGATTCATTTAATAGATTTAAAAAAAAATTAAACTAAAAAAAATTGTCTGAAACGATATACAAATGTACAGTGAGGTATGCTAGCGGTAGTCCAATTCTAAATGGCATACCGCGAACGAAGGTGACTGTACTTATTTTTTGTAATAATTATTTCGAAAATGTCACCTTTTGTGATATAGTCAAACAAAGATATGGCCCGGTGAGAGAGTCACTTGGTGAGAAAATATATAAAACCTACTTTGCCATATAAAATGACAAGACTCCAACAGTAAAAATAAAAATCTTGAGACAGAACATTGGCAGGATTAAGCTGTCATAATTTATTTTGTCACCCCTAACTTAGGTTAGGCTCCGAGTCCCTCAAGGACATATAGTGAGCTGATGATGAATATCTTTTGACTCATGCTCACCGAGTCAAACATTGTTGATCTTTAAATCTATTAAACAATTTCAATACAGTATTTCTTAATTATTAAATTATCCTATATGATATATAAATTATTATACTAATTTTCATTCCAATTGGTACATTGTGGCAGTGTTATTATTATTTTTTATATTTATATAACAGTATAAATAGTATATTGGTGTTGCAATTTACCATCTCGTCTTTATAAAATTTATTCTAGCTAAAAATAATTTACGATGCAATTTAGTTTTTTTTTTAATTGACAGGTTTTTTGGCGTACAATTTTTTTTTTTAATTATTTCATTCAATATCAAGAAAGAAGGTAGTGAAGAGATGTTAGATTAAATAGGAAAATTCAAACTAAATCATATAGAAATTCTATTTAAAATAATTAGATCTATACTAAAATTTGCATTTAAGAGTAAAATTATTAATTTTCCTAAAATTCCCCATTAAATTAAGCATTAATTTACAAATCCCATATCAAATATATTCAAATAATATATTAAATGTTATTACTATTTAAATTTTCTATATTTAAATTAAATTAGAATAGGATGGGATACAATCGAATAACTAAGGGTGGGCAAATAATTCATACATACCTGTCATACAATCTCACATTTTTACATACATTCATACAAATTCATACATTTATAGTTACGGCTACTTTATAGAGATTTTTCCATAAAAAAACAAAACAGAACCGTATATTTTGTACAGTTTTTTCTTTGCAATATTTTTGTGTTTATAATTACTGTTTTTTTTTTATTAAAGACCAACAATATATATTTTTAGATTCACGTTAGCCTCTTATAAACTACATTCTATATTCAGGTCCTGTTTTAAAAATGAGGTTAAAATCTATTGAGCAATAACTATTATTCAACGGTGGTAATTGAAGTATGAAAAAAAAAACACTAGTGAAATATTCCAGAAATATTGTTTTAAAGTATTTTTAAAAGGAAAAAATCTATAAAAAAACTTATATATGATTTTTTACTAATAGTTGCAAAAATCTAAAGTAAGATAGTTTAGTTTTTTTTATTTTATCTTGTAGTTTAAAAAAGTTTAGGGTTGTACAAAAAGGTGGAGTACATTTTAAATTATTTTTTCTTAAAATTTTGACACCCACTAGGAAACAGCCTTAGCAACTATTACGGTACACACAGTACTTCTCATTTTATGATAATATAAAAAAAAACATAAATCGAAAAATAAGGTTCTTTAAAAAGAAAAAATTAAAAAAAAAACAGTCAAATGAAAATCTCGTAAATTTCAAGTCAGTCAATAAATAACAAATAGCACTCAAACCAATAGCCCAGAGGGATAGGTAGACTTTTATAAAATAATTTCACAACCAAAAAGAGATTAAAAAAAAAATTATACAAAAAAAAAACTTTTTTTCCTTCAATCATCCAGATCCACAAAAATTTAAGGCACTACAAAATTTTTCCAAACATTTGAAATAAGCATACTGTGTGTACTATATCAGAAAAAATATTGCACAAAAGGCAAGATTTTTTTATAAACTATCGGAACTTTAAGCTCTTGATATGGTCACTAACTGCCACACTCACAGTGGTTTAAAGTTTACTTAACACATTCAATGCTACAACATTTTCCCATATTAAAGTGACGCTGAACAATTCAGCACTGAACATGTTAAGTCACTACTTCACTCATAGTTGTTAATTGATAACTAAGGGAGGCGCTTAATGTAAGATTCTCATTTTTTTATAAGGTGTCATTTATTATAAGAAATTCGCCAAAAGGCGAAATGACCGTTGTCCTTAGACAGCAGGGAGAGAAGGGGATGTACAGAAATAAGATATTTTTCCTTCCTATGCATCCCCTCCTCTGAAAAATCCACTTCCAATCATTACTTTATAAGAAAAGCTTATTAAGGGAAAGTTGGCTTAAAATTAGGGCCCCAAATCTCATTTTAATTATCCACTGAAATCACTTAACAACTCTGAGTAAGACAGTGATTGCTATTATTAAATCTTCACTAAGGAATGCCCTTATTCATTTAAACGTTAGTGTGACAATTTTTCCTACAAAAATGAGGTCAGTCTATGCAAGTATTTGGTATTACAATGTGACTGGTCTTGTGCTTCTATTTCATATTAATATTGCTTTTTTTTTTAATATTTAATAGCTAAATGTCTAAATATTTTTAACATCAAATACAAATATACGTAAAAAACTTTTTCTCCATAAGCAATTTATATTATAATTGTTAATTTTACTTTATCTCAAAATTTTTATAACAATTGTAAAATTTGTACGACCATTTTCTATTCTATATTCAGACATTTAGCTAAAACTGTCATAACACAGTTATAAACAGCACCGGCCCTAGTATGAGCGAAATTTCCAGAACTTTTAATAACATGATGGCGCTACAGGACAATGTCATAATAACCGTGGGTTTCTAAGACCAAAATCCCTGTTTAAAACATATTATCTCTAATAAAATGACAGGGATAACAATATCTTTTATACAGAGATTTTGATCTTGAACCCAACAGTAAGAAGTCCTCGCATAACATAACTTACTTGCTCTAATTTTTCATCTTTTTGAAAAAAAAAACGAGCGTGAGGTACAATCAGTTTTCTCGCTCTAACTTAGGGCCAGTACATATTTTAAAGAGCTGATAGATTGCTAGTGTTTCCTTCTGGTGGACTTACGTTCACATCCGTATGGTTTCTCTGCATCACCGGGCACCTCGTATGGCAGTGTACCTTGACCTGCTCTCTTACGACCGCGACCCTACAATACAATATAAATAAGATTTTTATTGTGAAAATTTAATAAAACAAAAAATGTCATTATGCCTTTTATAATATATGCTGATTGAACGCGTATTAATTCCATTTTACTTATTATAAATGCGAATGTTTGGATGGATGGATGTTTGTTATTAGGTATTTCCAGAATGTATGCATAGATTTCACTGAAATTTGCCATAAATGTAGAACATAGTCTGAAAGAATACATAAATTGTTTTTAGTGTTCCGTACCTTGAAAGGAAAAAAATGGAACCCTCATAGGATCACCTTGTTGTCCATCCATCTGTCTGGCAAGACCCTTTTTTTAACTCAGCGCGGACGGTGTCGCGGGCGACAGCTAGTATTAAATAATTTTGTCAACTCACAGCACGTCCACGTTTGGAAGGTGTATCATCAGGCTGCTTGTTACCGCGCCGGCCGCCACGTGAGCCGGGTCCTGTGGGGGCTATGCCGCGCCGTTTGCGCCTATTAGCGTATGTGTCGTCGTAGTAATCCTCGTCAGACTCCGGATCAGGTTCCTCGCCAGTCTCCATCTCTTCTATCGCCAAGTCATCGTAAAACCATTCCTGATAATATTTAACACTTTAAATATGAGTAAACAATTCACTTTGTTAATTAGGGTTCTGTACCTCATAGGAAAAAATGGAACCATATAGGATCACTTTCTTGTACGTCTGTATGTCTGTCTGTCAAGACCCTTTTTCTCAAAAACGCGTTTAGGTATTAAGCTGGAATTTTTTTTTTAACTTCACCTGTTTTTTTGTAAAACATGAGTAGATGAGTACAAACTAGAAAGAAGTAACTACAGATCTCTAGACAGGTTAAGTTAGGTTGCTTGGAAATGAAAGCTTTGATGTTACAAGATAATTATGTCTATCTATGTATATTATTAGTTTACATCCACAGCTCAAACCGCTACCATCAACGCCAAAATGGCGAAAATCAAATAGGCACATAATACTATTTCTTATAGCCAGGCCATTAATAGATTTCAGTAGGAGTAACTTATGATACAATCAATAAAAGTACCTAACAAAAATAAATGGTATAGTGTAAAATATGCTTTGGTAAAAATGTCACATTAATTTTAAACAGAATTTATAGTTGTTTATATCTGTAACCTTGACACAGGCGAAATCATCGAAAAAAATGATCAAGTCCAATATTTATTAAAAGAAGAGGTGCTTATGCTTTAGTGTTTTTTACACTAAAAATAAACTAAGGTACTACTTTAGTGGTCACTTAACAATTGAGTGCAGTAATAAACATAATAAATAATTTTAATTAATTACTTTAGGATCATCTTTGGCAGCAGTCTGTGAGCCATCTCGGCTATCATCACCAGCTAGTGCATCACCCGGGATCCCCGAACTGTTGTCACCATCTCCTGCGTTCTCAGCCGCATCAAGTGCACTCCAGCCCCAACGTGTGGATGACATTGTTAGATACTGACGTCGAGCTTTGCGCCATCTATTAATAAAAAATATTATCTCTCTGGTCTGTTTCTATTTATGAGTTGGCACAACTGTAAGGCACTAAATTAATTTTATTCTTTGGGTATTTAATGTGAGGAAATTCTAGAAATGTGTTGCAACTAATGATGCTTAACTGTTGTCTTATAATTTTCTAATAAGAAACATTGGGGAACACTATTATTAGCAAATTTGATAAATTGGATCTCTTAAGATATTTATAGTATATAGTATACTCATCACAGTAGTTGGTGGCAAAGAATTTGTTAATTTCATGTAATCTAACCATTTGTTAACCCAACTTTGATGGCGATATATTCACAATAAAAATGATTGTTACCTTTGTGATGGATATGTGTAAACCTGTCCCTCTCTAGCACCTGGCATGCGCTGCTTCCTCGTCATGAACAAGTTACAGTGACTTTGTGCAACACCTTAAAATAGATTAATTAATTAATAATATGTCCAACCGAATTTGACTTCACTTCTCAATATTTCTGCTAACTTAAGTATACTTAAAGTAATTTGACTTGACTTAATTGCCTACCAACTTGTGATTTATCCATGCAGCATGCACTGAATGTAAGGTAGAAACGCCCCCTTTTAATATAGTTATCGTACGATTTATTGGTAAAACTTCACAATAGCGAATCATGCCGAATTTTCCCAAAGTTAACTAGATTGATAGGAAATGATCTGTTTGGAGACCAAAAATATAGTGAAATTTATCGAAAGATTCCCTTGACCAACATTTTCTTACCTGTTTGTGTGTCGATAAATGGCATACGCATCCTTCTTTCTGCACATAGTCGCGAGTTAAATGTTGACGAATTTTCGATAATCTCTTTATAACTCGGATCATTGAGAAAACTGGAAAAAAATATATGCAACATAAACAAAACATGAAACCTTCACTACGACTTAAGTACCGAACACAGTAAGCAATAGTTTCTTTTAATTGAAAACAGTATCAAAGTTTGTAAGTTTCGTATGAAAATTTCGGGTCAAACCTTTCTATTTTTGCTAAATTTGATGGATTTACAACTTGAATTTCTGCGGCCGCCATTTTATAAAGCAGACATGAAGACGACAACGCTAAGTTGATGACGTCATGAAGCCATGAAGAATGAGGATTTGACATTTTACATTTTTTTCTTATTTCGATGGTGTTACCATAAGATGTATGCAGATAAATATTATGAAACAGTTTCCTATAGTCGGTAGTAATGAAAACACTTTACCCCTAATACAAATCTTGTATTTTGTTGTTGATTATTATATCATTACTTCGCTTACGTAAGGGACACATCAAAAAAATTGGTTCACACCAGTAGAAAAATTCATGTCTCTAGTCAAGTTTATAATAACCTTTGTAATAAATGGTTTATTACCATGTTATTCATTGAACTTGGTTTAAGTTGTAGCAACACTCAATATACGTCAAGCTTGTGACTGGTCATCGGCGGACGAATCGTGGAACTGGCGCATTTTCAGTTATTGGTGATTGGAGATCTTCAAATATTACACTGATTATTGGTTACTCTGTTCTAATAAGTTTAACCGCGGATGAGTTCTTAACTTGTTGTTGCAAAATATAACTTTGTAAACAAAAAGTTAACCAAGAAAAAGAATTTCGTTTGCAAGGTGAAGTCGTAGCAATTCAAGATGTCCGTATGCTTCTTTGTGCCTGCGTAAGTTGTCGTTCACGCTTTATCTTTTTATTTTTAGTATCTTTTTTTCTCTAAATTAAAACTAGTGCGAGAAATTAAGTTTATACAATATAAATTGTTTATCCATCTGCAATATTGTATGTATTATTGCATATTGAAACGATATCTAACATTTTGACTTCTGACGTAGTAGGTTACAAGTACTTAATAGATACTTATACGTTCCATTTAGTCAATAACAACTTTTTGGAGAAGTTAAACTTTCTTAACAGTATTAACATTACAACTACTTACTTATATAAATAAATGAATTCGTATTTTAGAAGATAAATAACGAGTAGATGTTAACCGGGCCGAAATGAAGTTAGTTGCTTTAGGTTTTCGCGCATGTACAGTAAACATGCAATCTTATTTCTCATGTGGAATAGAAAGAAAAAAAATATTCAGGCGTTAAGTATTTATCGCATCTCTGAAAACTGTTTCCGAAAACTTACGTAAACATTTTTTATTTCTATCATGGTCTGTTGAGAAATTGCCAGTGACCCTGAGACCTTAAAATATTTGAATAGACATACTATGCCACACAGGAGGGTCTTTAAATGATTCCATAAATCATACCTTAGTTTATATTTAGTACGAAAAGTAAACTAAGGGACTGCTAAAGTATATTAAGTGTACGATAAAATGTCTCTGAGTATGGGAGTGAGGTGAAATATTGTACAGCGACCAAGCCGGTACTTCAGCGGTGTCGGAGGAGGGCGACACCGAAGCGGCGGTAGAGGAGGGCTCCTCTCCGGAGAGCATCCAGCACAGTCTACAGGTCTTCTGGGCTAAAGTCACTGAGGATATCAAAAAAGTTACTGCAGTATGTATTTACGTCTACATTTAATATACTTTGCATGTGACAAAAACTTGAAATATAAATGTAGAGGGGTACAACGAAATCGGTAGACCTAGGAAGTGGATGGATGAGTTTGGTGAAAGTGTTTTTGGTGAATTTGATTAGCAAGGGAGTGGCTGAAACGTCCAAAAGCCGAAAGGTTGATGTGACCCCACATAGAGCTTGCTAAAGAAAGGCAGAGGATGGCAAAATCGATATGACGTGTTGCTTTACTACTTGACTAATTATGAAGAAATTACATTCGCTTCGTAACAGAATGTCATAGACAGAAAGAACTAACTAAAAAACTCTAGCAATATCTCATCACCAATAACTTGATAAGCAGCAGAGGCGTTAGGGTAGGGCGAGGTGGGGCTGTCCAAGGGGCGCTGCAGGCTTCAGAGTCGGATAAAAAGGGGCGCCTGCAATACCCCTAACATACCCTAGCTTTGTAAGATTTCTCCTGACACTAAAAAAGGGCGCCGCAAATGCTAAAAGCGGCTCTGTTTATAAAGTGTGAAACTTTCTATAGGATGATTTCAAAACACAAGCGCTTCCATTGGCGAGGATTAAAAAGATAATGAAGCTGGACGAAGAAGTAAAAATGATATCTGCGGAGGCGCCCGTTCTGTTTGCTAAAGCTGCGGAAATCTTCATACACGAACTGACACTCCGCGCCTGGTATCATACTGAAGAAAATAAGAGACGCACGTTACAGGTAAGTTCACAATCATCATCAGCTCACTATAGGTCTCCACTAAGGGGCTCAGAGTCTACCCTAAGAGGTGACTAGGTCAGTGCTGGTTGTCTTCATATCTTTGAATTTCTTCGCAGATATGTGAAGGTCGCATCACGATGTTTTCCTTCACCGTAAGAACATCAGATAAATGCACATATAGAAATCGAAAAATACATTGGAACATGACAGGATTCGAACCTAATATCTGCAGTCTGCATATTTAGTTTCATACTCAAAACTTAAGTCAATTACAACTTAAAAAAAGCTGTCATGTCATCAAATCGTACATAGCTGTGACAAGTATGGACATTAGTAAACATTTTTCAGCGTAACGACATAGCGACGGCGATATCAAAGTCTGACCAACTAGACTTCCTGATAGACATAGTGCCGCGGCAAGAAGTTAAGGTTACCAAGCCACGTGAGGATCCGCCGCGAACCAACAATACAGATCAGGTAACTAGTTGCTGCCAGTGACTTCATACGCGTAAAAAAACGGAGAGCTTATGCGTTATTCTAGAGTGTAATTTAATATTTAGAGTAAACTTTCTAATGTTAATAACATAAAATACGTTCAAAGTCTTTGTTGCTATGTGTATAGGTACGATTCCATTTTACCCTACCCTACCCTTAAAGTGCAGGAATTAGTCCTTAGCTTTGCTTATCGATATCTCCCATATAACACTGGTAGATACTTCCACTTAACCCCAATCTACCCGATCGTAGTATAATGCTGCTCCTAGCACGTAAGCCCTAACGCGTGTACACCGAGGTGTTGATGGGCATTAACCTGTACAGTACTACCTTCAGCTGGCGCAGCAGCATCAGGCGGCGCTGCAGGGGACTCAGCCGCAGTATGTGCTGCAGCCCTGCGCTCAAGTCGTACAGGTAACACACCATACACATACACACACACACACACACAAATACACATAAAACTATTGGAATCAATTAGATGTCTCTTCTTAAACACTTAAAACTATCCTACTACTTTGACTCATTTAAGTTTTTTGTGAGCGACAGTTAAAATTTTCAAATTAGTTTAATATTTTGTCGGATTGTAACTGAATTACGAAATTCTGACATCAGAATATCTGAAGACACAAAAGCCACTTACATCAGACTAATACTAATCGTATGCGTGTACTTTCAGCAGTCGGGTAACGCGGCGACGACCTCAGGGGGTGGACAGCAGCCCCTAACCCTGGTGCAGCAGGTGGTCACCTCCTCGGGAGAGCTGCAGCAAGTTCCAGTAAGTATCTACTATGTTCCTTTGCGTTCTATCCAAAAGATTATTTAAATACACGTTCAGTGCAACCGACAATTTAACTATGTATTATACAAATAATAGCATTGAATGTGTTAAAGGTTTCCGATTATGAACACTGAGGTATACGATTTCTACGACCAATGAATGACAACTTATCGTAATGTAAAAATTAAACTTTTCTTTATTTGTTTGATCTGTTAGATAAATTAAAAATAAAATATGTAAACTTTTTTTTATTCCAGATCCAGCTGTCACAGGCGCAGCTTAACATAGTACGGCCACAGCTGCAGAATAATCAAGGCCAGTTGATAGTGATACAGGCTCAGCCGCAGCAGACGCCACAGATAATTCAGGTACCAAGTTTATACATACAATGCTGGCGATGTACTATCGGGGAATCTCTCGGTATTTCACTTTGTCGTCATAGCTTTCGACTGCCACTTTTAAGACGGCAAAGTAGATATAATACCCAATCATCATCAGCTCACTATACGTCCCCACCGAGGGGCTCGGAGCCTACCCTAAGTTAAGGGTGATTAGGCCATAGTCAACAACGCTGGCCAAGTACTGGTTGGTTGACTTCACACATATCTTTGAATTTCTTCTCAGATATGTGCAGGTTGCATCACGATATTTTCCTTTACCATAAGAACGTCGGATAATTGTACTTATGTAAATCGGAAATCGAAAAAACACATTAGTGTATGGCGGGATTCGAACCCAGGACCTGCAGATTGCAAGTCAAGTGCTTGACCACTGAGCCGCCGACGTCTCGATGGCTCAATGGTCAAGCACTTAACAGCCAATAGGAGGCTTTAAAAGTTTTTACAAAAAAAAAGAAGCTTTTTACAATTTTTCCGTCTTTTGTTAATTGTATTTTTTTTTTATATAAGGAATGGAGTTTGTATCGTTGTAAGAAAGGAGGCAATTATTCTGTAAGTGGAATACCGCGGACTTGCCTGACTGTACTGAAGTGAGCAGGACGAGTCGGTGGCAATGAACGTGTTAACTTTTACTTGTTATATAGGTATCTTCACACGCCGGTCAGAATCAACCGCAGCAAGTGTTCCTAGCGCAAGTCGCCACCACTCAGGAGGAATCTTAGCGACGTGAACCTAAAGTGATATAATTTGGACTCGAATCTGTGAATTTGTGTGAAATACTTTGAAATTTATAGCAACATTGTAAATATTAACTAAGCAAAAATAAATAAATAAATATAATGATTAATGTGTTTTTTTTTCTACTACTACCAATAATTACGATTTAAGCAAATGAAAGGATATTTTGAAATAAAAAAACTACATTTTAATCTACATTTTATTAAAACAATTTTCTATTTTGTATCATACGATGCTAAATTACAACATACTATCAGAACTTTAATAACTACATTGCACAATTTCTAATTGACTACACTACACAAACTAATAAGCTTATACGTGTATTTCGCCATTTTGTTTTTTGTGTCATATTTGCCATCCTTGTCATTTTCTATGAAAACAACGAGGACAGCATCTACACAAGCGTCACTGACAAATTACGTCACATGCTAGAATGAGATGAACTTATTAGAGTGAGAGAGACGCTTCGCTTGACACAAAAATTCCATGGCGATTTATCAAATCTAATAAAAATAATTATATTTGATTGAAAACGAATACATAAACAATGATATCATTATAACAAATTCGCTGTAAATAACTTTAAAAAAATATATTTGTTAGAAAAATAACAAAAATATGAATCTAATTCAAATAATGTTTTTATATTTTTTCATCAAATAAAATATATTATATACCATAATATAAAATATAAATTAAGAAAGATCGTCAAATGATTTTTTTTTTGGTTTTACTAAAAAAAATATTACTCAGATTGTCTATGATTACCTTATGTGGTAACATTTTAAAAAGACGTCAAACTTCAAATAAAAAAAAACTATTATTATTATATTCTATAGCACACTTTCTTAACATAAAGGGTCATGGATAACGCTGACCATGACATGCATGGCAGCAGAAATTATTGTGATAAAAACAAACTTCAAAGTTCACAAAAACATTCTACATTGAGTTTCCACCAACGAAACATATACAAAAACTTAAGAAAAAAGATAAGATGTTTCGTTTGTAGAAATTCACATTTAAATTAACCTATATTTATTTACTATCACTGACCATAGTAACTTGCACAATATAACTTGAAATTCAACAATTTATTCTAAAAATTAAATCTAAAATAATATAACATTAATATTATCACAAATTTTGTGACATTCTTAAATAAATAAAATTTTATATTACAAAATTGGAAGACATTCAGATTTTGTTGTTTCTCTATTATATTTATATCAGATTTATTATTTAAATATTATGCCAATATAAACTATAAAAAAAAACTAACGCAATATAATATTTTCCCCTGTAGAAGCTATAGGGCATCGAATTACCAATTTTTAGGCTAAATTAATAATTTAAATAACAAAAAATATCTTTTAAACAACAAGGTAAATGTACCCATTCATTTAAATTTTATAATTTTCTAAAATAATTTTTATAAATAAAAAATATTTTTTGCATCTGGCAATAAACTTAAAATTATTATCTATGTCATATTAAACCTATTTTCTGCTGGATATTTATCCCGGCAAGAATTTTAAACTTAAGCATATAAATTAAATTTGATTCGTTTAAATGGAAATGTATGAATTATATTATAATTGAGCACTTTCAGGCTTATAAGTTTACTAAAAGTGATTATTTCGAAGGCATAGATAACTCTTCCAATATGGCGCGACAAATTTAAAAAAGAACACAATTGTGTGTACAATACTATAGTGTGTCTATTTAAGATAGTTTGACAATTCACTAGATATAGGTTGAGTAAAATCGATTAAGAATTTTTCCGATTTACGGTGGATGTTCTCATAAAATTTGCAATTAAAAATTCGTGATTATCGTTTTTGAATACCATATATAAATAAAATAGTTTCTTTCTATTCCTACTTTATCCTTCATAACTACATAAATAAATAAGCTATCAAACCAGAAATTGCGGTGTTGACGAACAAAAAAGTTTTTTTTTAATTAATTGTGTGATAAATAGCTTAAAAGATGTAATACAAAAAGTTATAAAATACCTAAATTATAGTACCCATTTGTTCGATTAATTTTATTACAAGACCGATTCTCGATAGTTCACAGTTATTCGTTGTGGGCGTCGTTTCGACACTATGACAACCGTCCATTTACAACATTAATCCTCATACGAAATTAATTAGATATTTTATAGACGTCAATTGTCAAACTAATCTATAATATGTTAAATAGACACACTATAATTTATAGAAACCACATAATTTTTGTAATTAAAATTAAAAAAAATAATTGAGATTAAAAAAGTTTATGAATTGAAAATAGGTTACATTTATAAACTTACCTCATTGGAAAAAGCTAAGACTTCTTTTTAATATAGTTGCTTACTTTTAAATTATGGCGATATTATTTTCTGGCTGTTATATTTTTTTATCTATTACACTAATTGAGCGAAATCTTAGTCTAAAGCTAAGTTTAACTTATAAATCAAAAACATATTTGGTTTATTCTCTAAAACAATAATTAACAAACAGCACCTTCGTATCACCGTGTACATTCGTTGTTAATTTTATAGAGTAAGGAGAGAAAATATTTTAATTTTTTTATATAAATTATTAGGTAAATAATTGTAAAAATTCTATTGGAAGGAACTTTATACAATAGTTTAATAGTGTTGGATTTTAAATGCGACATCTAAAGTTCATTTGAAGGTTCACACTTTAAAAAAAAAAGTATTAAATCTAGGAATCTTGTTGCTAATAGATTGAAAAAATTAATAGAGAAGTAGGCAAACAAAATCTGTATCTTTTTGGTAAGAAAAGTAACCATAGCAAAATAGACATAGAGCAAGCAATTTTTTTTCTAAAATTAATTTTAAAGGCAAAAACATGAACTTGAGATGTGGCATTAAATTATTTCAATACCATTTCAATATTTATAACCGAACTCTTCTTTGGAGAGGTTAAAAACAATATTGTATGATGTCACCGTAAAATTATAAACATAGTCAATTTTTAATCTGTGAAGACGATGGACGTTTTAATTTATATCTGATCGATAGTTTATAATATCGCTAGTAAGATTGTAAAAACGATGTTTACTACGGCGACAAAATACATAAATACAATATAAATTTTTCAACCTCTTTGGACCCATCGTAATATAATAATAACTTACAATAAGTAGATCATATAATTATTTAAATATAGAATTAATATCTGTAAGATCAACAAATAAGAAAATATTTTACATAAAAAAACACACACAAACAACTACATATAAATATTTCTTCCTGATATATATAAACATTTATTCTGAATTAAATAATATATTTTTTAGTCTGTAATTAATATCACTACATTGTTTGAGCCATTTTATTACTTATAATGTAGAAGGCAAGCTACTTTTTTATCTTTATCTGTATCTATTATGATACGTATAAAAAATCTTCACCGCATAACATATAAAACAAAAAGCTTTTGCCCTTGCTATTGTTTACTTTAAGATTATTGATATTCAAATTCATAAATATTTTCATTTTAACAATTTATTACACTGGCCAAAATAACCGATAGTCAATGCTGTAAAAAAAAATTATCTGTCATTTTACTAAATTAAAAGCGCGAAACTTCCATTTCTTAAACTATTATTTTTTAATTGCGCAATAGAATCTCTGAATTATATTTGCATGTATAAAATTACGACTTTAATTTTTATTATCGTAAAAAATAACGAAGAATCGCATGCCTCTACAAGTCGTTAAGTTGAGCGTGTCAGTTGACCATGAAGACGGGCCATTCGTGGCAGGCGGGCGGTGGCAACGGCAGCGGGGATCCTCCTCCCACCGACACTACCTCTGGTATCTGTCACCAATTGGTCACAAACAATATTACAATAACAATTCTAATGAGGTTATCTACACTAGGAGCAAACTTAAGAAACAATTTAAGGACTCTGCGTATGGTAGTAAATGATGGATAAACACAATATTTAATTATAGTATAGAGGGGAGCTAATGGTCTTTGTTCTTCCCTTGATCTTTTGATTTCACAATAAAGTCGAAAGTTAGTGGTTACGAACCGATTCATGTAAATGCACAGAAAATTAACTTTGGATAGATACTTCGTAGAATATAGACAAAATCATTTTTGTCGGAATTTACTAAAATATGTCATATTAGACTTCGGTAAATAGCTTGTAATTCTTAAATTCTTACCATAGTTTGGGGATGATGGGGCGGATGATAATAATGCGCAGGTGACACCGGCGGTGTGGGGTAGCCCCAGTACACGAGGGGAGGGAGGGTCGGCCCCATAGCCGGGTAGTAGTACGTCAGCGGACCTACAGACAAAATTATAAATAAAATATATCCACAAAAAATTGCGAAAACTTACAAAATTAAACATAATACAATAATTTTATAGCTTAACCAAAAAGTATATAACAGTACGTATGGTCAAATTTTTAATCTGTTTTTCAACTATTTTTGACAGATCGATCGAATTGATTTTTTTTTTTCATGCAAGTTGTTAGTCACTACATTCATATTTTTGCATACATTTTAAATTAAAATAATATTTACTAGTCTATAGACACCAAATAGTTTTATTAGTTTCAATTAATATTAACACATTATTTCTTGTGCGCGACATACATTTAATTGTTAAACCAATTGACGTAATGACTCAGCAATGGATGATTATTTCCCCCTTCAATAACCAAAATTTTACCTTGAACCCTTGTATTCTAAATACCCCTTATTTTAACCTACGTAATAAATTGCGAAAATGTTTTGCTGAATCCTTAATTTAGAATAAAAAAAATATAAATGTCGTTTGAAAATTATGGCGCCAATTTTTTTTGACAGATTCATCAAAACATTTTCTCGATTTTGCAATACAAAAGAAGACGTACACAGATAATGTAAGATATATAAATAAATGTATGTAATTAAAATCATGATAAACACTCACCAGGGTTTCAGAACGCATTAACAGTCCACCAAAGCAGTGCGCTTACACCAATACTCTGATATTGTTTGTTACACACTCCGCCGTTGCCGCCAACACCAAGCTAGTCTGCGGACTTCCAAACTTACGCTCGCCTAATGCCCTACCACTGCACCACATATTGCGATCTCAACTTTATAGCTAAAGCATTTAATTTTTTTTGCAATGTTGGCAATTCTTTATAAACTTTTAATCATCTATTAATATTAGCTGCATAATTTGACATAACAGAAAAATGTTTGTCTTAAAAAAATCTTATTCCAATCCAAAACATTGATATTTAACCATAGACATACTGCATATTAAAACGCAGTAAATCATTTCTGGTAAAATACTTTTCCTTTCATATATCTTAATAACTGAAATTTTAATAATGGCCGCCATGTATGGAATTTGATGTTCATCTGTTTATATAATTTAAACGTTTTATAATTAAAAACAAGGTAATAACGCTAACGTGATATAGCTCCCTAGTTTTTTTGCATATGATATTTTTAAAACATTTTATTAATTACAAGTTGAAATCGCAATAAATATAAAGAATAAGAAGTTTCACGTGATCCCACAAGAAATGATAGGTAAATACTTACCAGCTCTTCGTTATATGATGAATTAACACTAAACATTCGACCAGCCACTAACAGGGCGTATAACCTTGTACCCATGAAGTTTTTAATATAATCTAAAGCACAAAAACATTTCGTCTACAACACACTTAAGCGGCCGATATCTTTTCCCATTGTACAAGATCTTTTTGTAAACACTTTCACCTCAGAATCCATGCATTTTGAAGCAGAATTTAATGTAATTTGAGATCGGACAGAGCCTTATCAACTTAAGCGGTTTAAATATTATATCGATTTAACTTTTTAAAATGTATTAGCGGCATTTAATAGCAAGTAAGAACTTAAACACCGCTTAATATTTTACGTTTCATGGCTTTAATATTTATGAATAAATTATTGACATTACTTATTGGTAAATGTGAACATAAAAAAGAAATCAACAAAATATCTGTTCAACTTGTTTTGACTTTTAAGGAACTTGTTCTGTCAGAACAATGTTACTTTTTTTTAATCATGTAGGCACAAGTCATTTTTCAATTATGCTCAACATCCAAAATAAGATTAAATCAAGTATGTTTATTACGAGTAAAAAAAAAACTAATTGAAAAGTTTGTGTGTATAGTCAATTTCAATGGAAATAAGTAATTAAAACAAACATATCTAAAAAATTAAACATTTGCAACGCTGTAATCAAAGATTTATTAAAAACATGTTCGCATCATCAATTCCAAAATATGTCCATAGACAAAAAATTACATTTCTCATTTCCATTGTATTCGACTTGGCTCTGTCCTTTCCCGCGTTATTATAATGGATCCAAATGAAGCTATAACAGTGCTTTGTGAAGTTACCTTACCAATATATTTCTTTTTACCCCATACTTATACACCCTCTGCTTCGTTATCATGTCTTTGACGTGATAGTATGTGCTACACGTAGTATACATTAGTTGAAGCCAGGTTAGGAGGCGGGAAAGGAGACATGATTGTGCTATTATTTTGTCTATGTTATAATTGCCTTGTGAAGGAAAGTTTTATAAACATACACGGACGGACTTCAGAAGACTACATGATTAGTCGCTATAGACTGCTTATCCATGCATCTCTACAGTAAAACATTGTAATTTATAATATGTTTCGATGTTCGGCAGTTACGTTTTTCAAGCAAAATTAAATGGCCGCTTGCTCGTTTGCCACCTTATACTGTAAAAAAAAACTTGACGATTGACAACTTTAAAGAATTCTAAAAGAATTAAGAATATCAGCAGCGACATATAAGTTTCTCGTATTTACAAAATGATTTTCATAAAGTGAAAAATCAGGTATAGTGCTAAATGTGTAAGTGATAAGTGTTATGTTAGTAAAACATTGACAGACGATACTATACCATAGACAAGCAATACGTATTAGCCCTCCTTCACAAGTATACCATAAACAAATCAGCTTTTTATTACGTCAATTAAAATAAAAGAATAGCACAACCAACCACAAACCAAAGAAACTCGCAATAATCATGTTCTAACACGTAACTTATCAATTTTTATTTACGCAATATTCTAAACTATAATTAGCCAACTAAAATAACTATAATAATAAAAAAACTCATAAAGAACCAGTTACAGATACCAAATAAGTCTACCTGATATTCTAAAATTCTGTTTTAATTTGTTTATAAGAGTTATTAATTTACCTCACAAATGTTCGAAATGTTCGAATTTTATAATTTTGTGCTTGGGAATTGCCAAAAATATAACCAATAAAAGCAACAAAAATTATGTAGCGAGATAATCGCATATGTTTTGAATTCATTAATATAAAAAATTAGACATTATTGGTTATAATTTTTAGCAATTAACCATAGATAATATTTTTAAATATAACTACGCGATATCCTCACACCACCACCCCCAGTCACTACACATTTGAGACATTTTAATTTCAGTGCATAACCTCTTTTATTTTTATAACCATAGACAAGCATGCGCTAAAAATTAAGACATCCCTTTAGACAGTGATTATTAAAAAAAAATAAGAATTAAGCAAAAAAGAAGGCTTAAACAGCAGAAAAAGAAGAAGCTGTGAAAAAAAGAAAAATGTGTTAATGACTGGAGGGCATTTTATATCGACGGAATCCTGAAGCCGGGTAAAAGACAATTATCTTCAAGCAATAGGGGTCGTTTTACTTTTTTTTTTAGTTTTTAAATATACGGTTGGTAGGGGCAAATGAAAAATTCTTCTGCCAGCCAACTATAGTAAAAAAATTAAGATTTTAACACACTCAATGAAACGATTTTCTCAAAATTGAACTCGCCAAGTGAGTAGTGAACTGGTGTTAACTTTCACTCATCTCAAACACACTTTTTTGTGTTAGTTTATTGAATAGTGAGATTATAAATTGACAAAATTATTCGTCAATGATAATTTTACAATTTTAAATTAGTTACAGCACAAAACCTTTGCAGTCTCCAAATTTCATACATGCATTCTTAAAGAATTAATACATTTAAACCCTTTTACTAATTATAATGACATACTTTCATTAAAGAATCTCAGTCTGACTTAAAAATCTATTAATTAACCTTGTAAAAATTTACAAACACTTCAACACTACCCATGTCACGACTCGCCAGGCGAGTCTGAACTTGTCGACACTATTTTGTTATGGCTAAAAGTTAGGTTGTAGTCAGAAGAATTTTAACATTATGCCTAACAAAACCAGAGTACCAAAAGTATAAAGCTTTTCACCGTTTACAGTTCGTATAACACATAATAGTAATAGCTATGCCGCGGCTATCCGCTCGCGCTGTGCTTAGGAAAACTTGCACTCTGAACCGAACTGAAACCATGCATTCTCCGATATATGTAAGCGCCATGCTATACCCACCTTTAACTAGTTTCTCTAATTTAAAATTAAAAAATTGCAACACTTACCAAACCGGCCGGTGTTACCACATTCATGCACATTTTCCATAAACACAACCCGTTCGGATAAACCGTATTAAACTTTATTGTTTATTAATAAAACACAATATTGCATTGACAGCTAGACTAGAGGTGATTGTAACTTTGACATTTGCCGTCAGATTATTGTCATAGTTACAATTTCGATAAGTTAAATATTATTAAAGAAATGACAGAACAAAAGATTAGCCATTACACCATGTAATTGTGACTAAAGCCCCCAATACCTATACTTGTGAATATCGAATGGCAACACCATACACGATGACATTAACCTTTTGTTTATCTATAAACAGCCATAAATACAGATCACATATTTTTAACGCTTTAATAAATTATAATTTTGAAAAAAAAAATGCAGTAAAAGCCATGAAAAATTTATGAATAAATCACCACAGATAATTTAAAAAAGCGTTAAAACATAGTGAGTTAATTAACCGGCATGACTACAATATATGGTGTGAGGTAACGCAGACAATGGAATAGATGGTTGCAAAGATTGTTAGAAGTGATAAACGACACATTTCATATTGATATCGGATATGGAGAAGGATATGGAAGACTTCGGAAAGGTTATGATTTTTTCCGCAAATATTTGATTTCATCAAACGTGTTATATAAAAAAAAACTAAAATAACAGCTGCAAATAGCGGCAAAACGTACACGTGGCAAAAACTTATTAAATATTTCATAATAATTACAACAGACTATTATAAAAAACCTATCTAAAAAAAACAAAAAAGTGTATAATAGTTAACGCAAAAAGTGCATTGTACTCAAAAATTGATTTAAGTACCGAAAGCGCGTCATAAATGACATAACGCCAAAAAATTTCGTCAGACTTTGTTGCCTTGAAACGTACGGCAAAATATTTGTCTTATTCAATTGGAATGTATTTAAAAATCACAACTGAACACTTACACAATAACACAATACTCGTCAAAACATTAACAACCTTTGAATCACACAAATTCAACTTTAAAAATATGGTTACGTTTTAACAAAAGTCAATGCAAAATCAACAATATTTCTAAGACTTATCCTATTAACTACTAGCTGCAATATTTAACTGCCGATTTCATATTTATATTAGTAAATTCATTTTTGTTGTAAACATTAATATCAAAAACCTTCGAAGAGGATTTAAAATTGATTTTTGAGCTCATTGTCATTTTTATTACCCTGTTAAAACGAAGTTAATCGTAACTTTAATATTTAGAATTAAGAAAATTATTAACTTTTTTTAAACACCGTGGCGCCAAAAAGGCACAATATTTTAAGAACTACTGCCAACGCGATTAGTTTTGTAACGTTGAATAATTTGATAAGGCACAATAGGCTCGTTAGTACTAAATATAAATTGTTAATTATATTTAACTGTAAAGTTAATAAGAGATGATATTTAACGTTTGGAATAATCACATAAAAATAGCTCACTGCTATGTGACTTCAATAGAAACGTCGAACGAGATTTTAAGAAATACCACGACGCGTTGCATGCGTATATATGAATAAGTGATTAAACTAAACTCCAGGATAGTAGGGGTAAGTGGGGAACATTGACAACGTGGCGGGGAACGGTGACGTCATAGTGGGGGGAAGAGCGGCCGAGAGAGGAGTACTGTAGCCCGCGGGGAGTGCAGTTGGTATTGCAGTGGGGAGGGCGTTCGCGTATGATAACATGGGACTTGTGTTCGCGTACGAAAATATAGGTGTCGAACCACCGTAAGAGAATACGGGTAAAGAGAGGGGAGCGATTTGCGGCGCGGAGTACGGGCGCTTCGCGGGGGGAGCTTCGGCTTGCGTGAACGCGCGCTCATACGACCGTTTTGTGGGAAGAATCTGTTGCTGCGTGGGGAGAAGGGGGAGCTGGTATGTAGGGGCGGTTTGCCTGTAGGGCAGGATGGGAAGGAGGGGGGGCCGCAGCGAGGCGAGCAGGAGGTTCTCGTGCTGGCGCGCGAGGAGGGTCTGGTGAGCGATGTGGTGGGCGAGCAGACGCGGCGCGGGCGCGGGAGGGGGCAGCAACGTACCGGGCGACAGCACCTTGGGCGAGGTGGAAGGAGTCACGCCGCCAGTCAGCACGAGGTTCATGTCGTCGCCGGAGCACTGGAACACCTGGATGAGACAACCCTATAGGATCAAGGTATTGATACTGTGAGTGCGTGTGCTCGAAGTTCAGTGACGTACCTCTATGTACCGCTGCTTCTTGCCGAAGGTCATGTAGCGGTGATGCTTGTGCTGGGCGCAGAGGTAGGCGCTGGTCTCGCTGTCCATCTGTATGAATGCCTCGCCGCTAGGGTGACCCTGCACCCAGAAAACTATATGAACATTTTGTTCCCATGAATTATACCATAAAAGAAAAGGTTCGATGTGTCTCGCTTACTTGTGCATTGTAAACCATATGGACGCCCTGTACAACGATGTTCTTGGCGAATTCGTCCAAAAATGTCAAAATGTGTTCCACCTGTTGATATAGTATTCAATTAATATAACTTGTAATAATAATTTTTAACAGGTGTTAACTAAAAGGTACATACCTGAGCTTCATAGGGTAGACCTCTCAGCCTGACGCAGTCTTTAGCGGTGCCCGAGGTGATGACGTGCTGCGGCACCAGCGTCACAGGCAGGAGACCTTCAGCCGGCGCGCTGGCGGTAGACGGAGTGCTGGCGGTGCTCGTGCGCGTCTCCAGGGAACGGTTCAATACCTGGTCACAAGTCATCATGGGGAAAGATGTGATATATGTAAAGAAACATTCACAACGTTATCATGCAATATCATATTATTCCTTGCATTTTGATATTGCAAACTAAGATAGGATTCATACAATTTCTTTCGCAGCGGAAATCTTACTAATAGTTTATATTCGAAAGTTTAGATGGATCAATATTTGTTACAAGGTATCTCCGGAACGGCTTTACGGATGTCGTTGAAATTTGGCATAGATGTAGAACATAGTCTTGAAGAACTCATAGGCTACTAAATTCTATTGACGAAGTCGCGGGCGGCAGCTAGTTGACGTTAATTTAGTATAGTGACGTCATATTTAATTTTAATCCTCATACATTGCTTCTGTTTTAAATCTAAACATTTTATTTTATAAGCAACAGTTTTTAGTTTATTCAGAAACAACCCGAGGTATCAGACATGCATTGCCATCCACTCACCATCACCTCACAAGGGCAAGCTGTGGACATAGATTACTTTGATTCATTCTAATTTACCACAATAAAAATAAGTAAAAAATACATCTTTTTGATTCTTTTCAACTAATGAGATTTTAAAAACAATTCTGTGCATCCATATCCATATTATTTTTCTATAAAATATGTTTTTGTAAAACATGTTTCAACAGTGGAAATTCATCGTTACGTGTTGTATCATAGCAAGGTTAGTACATAATAATATTACGAGTGCAATATAATATATTATTTTATAGCTGTAGATAACATTGTTTCCGACCACGAACGTTGACAATAAAAATAAATTGTTCAATTATTTATTTCATCGCATTTTGATTAAAAAAATATTCACTTCGTACTTTTTCTTTTTTTTTTTTAAGAAAATAAATCTGATTATAAAACAAAAAAGACTTGTTCAGTTTTGCATAAACTCATCCATAAGGGTAGTTACATACCTGTTGCACTTCAGCGGTGGTCGATCTGAACAGTTCGATGTACCTCGCACCAATAAGTTTGCGATGTCTGGAGAGTGCTTTAGGCGCGTCATCCTCTTTAGGAAACAGCACGAACGCATCTCCGGTGGCTCTGCCGTCCGGCCGCCGCACGAACAGCACGCCTTCCAAACCATCTAGCACTTGGACAGGATCGTCGCCCGTTGAGAAGAAATCCAGCTATAAATTATACATGTAAGATGTAAAAAGTTTTCAGATATCTTGAAGGCTTTTAACTTCGCGCGAATCGTTGCGCAGAACATAATCTGTGTTGGGGTGTAGCGGGATGTTAGGGTATGGCACTGCGCAGCGCGCGCATGACATTGAGCCGGCAAGATTTTAGAAAAGAACTATACTACGTAACTTCAGAATGGCTAAAGGGATCTGTATGAAAATGGTAACAGAGTTAGATTATAGTCTGGAATAACGCATAAACTAGACATTTTTTGTTACAGACAAAATAGCAAACTACCTTCAATGAAACACAAAGAAAAGTAGTCGGTCAGACTACGGAAGTCATAATTAGTCTGAATGACCTTGACTTGACTTAAACTACTGACTTACTTAAATCAAGTACAACAAATATTTATTTAGGCTAAGTTTTAGATAAAAGAGAAGGAAACTAACAACTTGTTGCGGCGTAGCGTCGTATGGCAGTCCGCGCATGCGCACTATGACCTGAGCGCCGCGTGATAGGAATGCGGCCGCTTCGCACGTGGCGCCCCCCGCCACAGACAAAAAGTCCTCCCCACTTGCACGGTACACCTGTAATATGCAATACAAAGATTATAGAATAAAGATGTTTGACTCATTTTAGTGTCCATTTCCACTTAGCTGTTAGCTGTGTGACTCTGGAATAACGCGGACATTATTGTGTAAATTAGTTCTACGGATGAGTGGACGGTAAGAACAGAAATGAATGTTCCAGAAATTGTTCGGTGGCACCTAAAAGGTTAACTCAAGCAACTTAAGAGTAAACTCTTGCAACTAAAGACTTAACTCTTGTATTTAAATGGTTCAACAATTGTTACCTCAATGTACCGCGGGCCGATGTGGTGTTTATGACGTTTGAGCGCCATGTCCCTGTGCTCCTGCGACACGAATCGCACCAGCGCTTCACCGTTGCGTCTACCTTGTGGTGATAGGCACAGCGCTACGCCACCCCTGATATCACAAAGAATATATCTATACTCTCGTTGTCTCTCTCTTTTCATAGAGACTGAAAAGGATATCAATAGCTTTCAATTCCGCTCGGATTTTTTGATATTCCGAACATCATTTTCAGTTATCTTATGAGCGACTTTGAGTCTTCTTACATAGTCTATAGGATACATTTTTATATACACTTACTTGGCAACATTTAGCCCTCTGAAGAATTTAGCGATGTCTTGGTCTGACGACTGCCAGGGTAGACCACGTGCGCGCACTATGCAGTTACCGTCTATTTCATCGTCTTTTGAGCTGCAACAATATATAACAAACAGTTAAACATACATAGAGCCAGGATAACATAGAGTTTATAATTTTTGCTGTACTATTTTTTGTGGTTATGTTCATTTGGTTGTGACTTGTTCGCGGATTGACTGATTTTAAAAAGTGTGGTAACATTCGATATGTGTTCTTTCCAAGAGTGTCACTGTCATATGCACTATGAAGCGTCTTCGCCAGCTCAGGGAAAATAGCAGTTTATATGCCCGTTTCAGTCCTATCTATGTCCTACTTGTCACAAACGCGGCCATTGGAGAAATAGACAGACGAGAACCTCCTCCTTTTTGAAGTCGGTTAAAATAAAAAAAAATGAATTTATAAGTAGAGTCCTCGAAATATGATTATTTTCGATATTAAGTACACTCCAATTTCATTATATATATATTAGGTACTAGTTTAACGTGTAATATTTTAAATTCCACAATCAAATCGGATATAAACAACTAATATATTTAGTTATCGGTCATTGAAGAGCACTATTTAGTAAATTAATAGTTATATCTACATCGATATTATGTTTTAAGATAACCTAATTTGTCTATTTCAAACAACGCAATTAGGGTAATACATGTTTACTTTGATTGTCTATAATTTTACGAAACACGATATTGTTGAGCTCATATCACAAATGAACACAAGACTTTTCTGCAATAATAAAAAAAAATCTAGTTTAGAAAAGGTTTTTTTCCTTAGACATAAATTGTAGCTTTTAGCATGATATTGTGTAATTAATGTTATAAATGCGAATGTATGGATGGATAATTGATATAAAAACGGCCAAACACTGACGTATATTCGTCCGGCGGCGGCACCGACTAGTTTCGTGAGTGATGAACTGATGAAGGGCCTCCGATGGGCACGAAACTAGTCGGTGCCGCCACCGGACGAATATACATACGTGAGTGTTTAGCCGTTTTTATATCAGTTTATTATAATGTCTCACGAAAGTTTGAATAGTATGGATGGATGGTTGTTTGAAGGTATATACAGAACGACTGTATAGATGTATGAAATTTGGCATAGATGAAAAACATAGCCTGGAAGAACACATAGGCTACTTATTGTTTTTTTTAATTCCGCGCAGATGGAGTAGTGGGCGATAGTAAATTATAAAATTTTTAAAGTGCTTAAAATGGTAGGTGCATTTTTAAATGTTTTTTTTTAATTAAAAATATAGCTTGGTTATTTACGCAGCTCCGAAGGTTTATCGTTTCGGCCAGTCTTGTGGTTGCCCCCAGTAAACCGTAAAGCGTAGTTATAGCCTATTGTTAGCTTACAATAGGTACAATTCCACGATAACGGTAAACCGATAATTGTTTTTTTATCATAATTGGTGTAATATCTACGTTTACCTTTGATCTATTACTATCTAGACCTTGTTTAATGCGTTTGATTATATATTTTACTATTATATTTTTCACTACGTCAGTAGTGTTAGGAAGGAAATCCGACACTGTCCCGGTGTACTGGAGCAACACTAGCCTTACTATTTTACGCATATTCACACAATCCATCCATACTTTTTATGGCCTTTCTCTACCTTTACCTTTGATTATGATTATAAGGCCTTTAAACACAAACGTAAATCTTTAAAACCAATATTGTATACTTGCGTAGCGCGTGCTCTGTAGACAACGTTGGATCGTGGACAAGGGTCGTCTATTCGGTCAGTACAAGGGCTATACAAAGTGCATTGGTTCCGAAGCGATTCCATAGCGAATTTATAGATCTGGCAATAACATACGATAAGCCACATGATTGTCACTTGTGAGTGTCGTACATTTTAAAAATTGGTTAAAGAATTCCCTTTGGAGGGAATGCACTTAGCGAATTTACAAAATGTCAACTGTGTCTTGAAAATCGCAGCGACTAAAATCGTAGAGTTACAAAGATTTACGTTGCTTTGTGTACGAGAAGCCTAATCATTTGTTTTTGATATCAGCTATACAGTTAGCAAAGACAGATCGTACGCATTTGACTTGATGATGGTAAATATTAAATAGTAAATAAGTTATTTTATTTGCCATGGCTTTCCTCTGCTGTAACCGTGAAAAATATATTGACATATTTTTATACAAGTGTTTAACCAATAGAAATTCAGTGAAACATGCATATAAATGTAGAGTCAGCAAAAATATATAAAAATAAAAATGTAACAACGATGACATTGCAATAGGACATATTATTGTCACATCACGAACAAATAAATTGTCATCATAAAATATATATTTAAAATAATCGTGTGTTCATCATAAAATGACATTTATCATGGAAAATATATTAATAACTAGCTATCGCCGCAACTCTGTGCGCATGGAATGAAAAAAAATTAGTTCCCGGCAATTATTCGAATTTTTCTCACCCTTTAAACCTTCCCTAGATCTCAACGAACATTTAAATACCAAGATAAGATATTTCCGTTCTCGAGTTTTAACAAGACTAGCAAACAACAATTCATTTTTAGTGTTCCGTACCTCATAGCAAAAAAACGGAACCCTTATAGGATCACTTTGTTGTCCGTCCGTCCGTCAAGACCATTTTTCTCAAAAACGCGTTAAGGTATCAAGCTGGAATTTATTATATATAGACTGTGTATAACAATTGGCATGTGAATTGGTTACCGTTGAATTTGGTCACACATATTGTTGTCTCTGTTCCATCAAAGAGAATGAAAGAGATGTCAACATGTATACAAGTGTGACGTCACTAGTTTTACGGTTAACGTAAATAACATTTGTTTTTGCCAAGCTATTGAATTATAGCTTTGAATAATATAATGAATCAGTATGGAATCATTCACATATGAGATTTGTAAAGATTTTTATTCATATAAATAAGATTACGTACTCTTTTAGATCATAATATTTTATAAAGAGTTGACGGTTATATAAAATCTATTTATAATATACGATAAATCGACGAGACTTTTTAAATTTACCGTAGGTTGCTGATACCACCTACGCAGTCGCACTTGAGGTTGGCCACCGAGGGGGTTTTAGTGAGTAAGAATCTCACATAACCCTGTCTTTCCCCCAAAAGGTAGGGTATCTTACGAAAATTTCCCCCCGATACAAAAAAAAGGTACTGATACCAAAATTTTCATTTAAAAATATTGTTATCTCTGTTTTGTTAAAGATAGTGACAAGGATGACGATATGTTTTATACAGAGATTTTAGCTTAACCAACGGTGAAAGGATACTGTTTTAAGTTTGCTGATATTTGTTTCAGAGGCGGGTTTCCACTTAGTATAAATATGAAAAATCTGCATAAAGCAATTGTTAAGTGATTTCGGCAGTTGAATCTCACAGTTACAATAACTGTCGCCCGCCCCCAATCCGCACGGAATTATAAAAAGCTTAACAAGTAGCCTATGTTTTCTTCCAGATTGTGTTCTACATCTATGACAAATTTTATCGAGATCCGTTAAGCCGTTCTGAAGATAAAAATAAAATAAAAAAAGCTTTTATTGCTTTACAACTTCTTTACAATTTATGGTTATTATACATGCCTATTCACTAAAAGTAATGAGTTTGAATGTGGCTACAAGGGTAGGGGAAGACCAAAAAAAGTATGGAATGACTGTGTGAAAGAGGATATGCGTAAGAAGGGGGTAGACTCGGATATGACGGCTGATAGAGATGTATGAAGGAGTAGTACATACTGTGCCGACCCTCGATAGGGATAAGGGCAGGTTGACGATGATTCACTAAAAAAACTAAATTAATTTAATCAATTCCACTCGTATTTAAATGATCGGCAACTTGTTGTTTGTATTGAAAAGCTTGTCAATTGACAAATGCCTCGTCTAAAGATTTCCAAGTATTCCTGTCTCTTGCTAAGCGGATCCTATCCTATCTTCTGAAGATACCTTCTAACAAATATCCATCTATCCATCCAAACATGCACATCTACGTCACTACGTTCAGTTTGGAGTCACAGTGTGATGTACTATGACGAATTACATATAATCTTGACTGATGCGTCAGATCCATTGGTTGACACATTGACTTAATCATTGTCTGAACAATTTAAAACTAGGGTATTGTAATAAACGTGTGTCACTACACATTAACAAAGCCCTTTACGCGGTCTGTTAAAGTAAACTAGGAAAATAATGATCGGGTTTTATATAGTTTTATTATTGTATAATTGATAATTTGAACAAATTATTCATTATGGATTTTATTGCATACTAGCTGGAAGCAATTACGCGTTTCGTCTGAGTGTGCGTCCCGGAGGCCTAATTTAGTTCTCTTTCCCTTCCCACCCTTTTTCTTATAAGGAAATGATGGGAAGTCGAAGTGTAATTTCCGAATGAGAGGATGCATGGAAAGGGAAAAAAATTTATTTCTGTGCATCCTCTCCTCCGTCGATTAAAGGTAGGCAACGTATATGCAATTGCGTATGTCTATGTGCAACGATCACTTCGCTTTTTCAGCGATTTCAGGTGGCCGCTCGCTCGTTTGCCACCTTTTGATATAATAAAAAAGCTGTCGCCCGCGACTCCGACCGCGTGGAATGACAAAAAAAACTTGATGAGTTCCCGGTAGTTATTAGAATTTTTATCACCCTTTAAACCTTCCCTCCTTACCTCCACGAATATTTCTAGACCGAGATAACATTTTCTCGAGTTTTAGCTAGACTAACGAGCAGCAATTGATTTTTATAAGTGTTTGGAAATTTGATGAAAGTAAACAATATTCCAAAAAATATTTTCGATAGAAAATAACAGTGGAATAAATTTAAGAAATCCTTTCTTTACTCTATTTAACGTTTTAAATGTTTAATTTTTTTTAATTAGGCATCACCAATATAGTGAAGCTGTAAGGACCTATTTCCACTTAGCGATTAGTCACGTGACTACGGTCGCGCCGCTGTTTGCATAGCAGTCGTTTTGCCGCAGTGGAAATTGGTTCTAACACGAAGTTATCTCAGTTCAATGTCAAAAGAACACAATGTTAGCGTCTAGCGG